GAAAGGTCCACAGTAGCGCGGTCGTAATTTTGGTACGTCGGGCAGTCGCAGATTTTGCGTGTCGAGTAGCACGTAATCTCCAGATTGATACGTGACGGGGCGGCGGTGGCGATCAGCGTTGCGCTTAGCGATGACGTTGGCCTTTTTTATTGCTTCGGCGGCTCTGGCGCGGGCAGCTTGCAGGATTTCGGCGAATTGTTGTGCACGTGGCGTTGGGTTGTCCGGACTCGGCGTCATGGGCACTGTGGGGTTTTGCCCATAGTTCAGGTAGAACGGGGACTGCTGCGTCGTGGCTGATGTGGCGTTGTTGTACGCGAACTCGATCAGCGGCAACTGCTGCTCCCAGGTCGTGGGGTCGTCGCACGTGGCACGAATCAACTGCTCCATCGTCTGATTCGTCCGCTCCGTTTGGCCGTCGGTCTCGGGGTGGTACGACGAACTGAACTGTAGCCTGGTCCCGAACTGCTCCCAGAGGTTCTTCCAGAAGTTGCTGGTAAACTTCGTGTCCCTGTCGCTGATGATTGCTGCTGGTATCCCGTGCAGGCGAACAACGGCTGCGATGAACAGGCGAGCGGTCTCCTCGGCTGAGATCGACTTTTTGCACGCAGCGAAGTGTGCCATCTTCGTCAGCCTATCCACGACGACCATCACCGCGTCGTTACCCCCAGGGTTCGAAGGTAACCCTGTGACGAAGTCCATGGTTACTTGCTGCCAGGCGCGTTCGGGCGGTGGGATCGGCTGCAATTGACCCGCCTTCCGCTTCCTTGAACTCTTCATCACCTGACACGTCGGGCACGAGCCCACGTGCTGCTGTACGTCGGTCAACAGCTCCGGCCAGTAATAGTACCGCTGCAGTTGCTGTCGCGTTTTTTCTACCCCGAAATGTCCCGAGGTAATCCCGTCGTGTGCCTCCTGTAGTAGCAGCTCCCTCAGTAGTGAGTACGCGGGTACCCAAATGCGGTTGGTGCCTGATTTTACGTAATAGACTCCTCTTGCTTCTGCCAGTTGCTGTGAATTGCCGGTCGTGAAAAATGGGTCGGTGCGGTATCCGTGGGTGAATAGGCCAGTTAAAAGCGGGTTGGTCTGGGCGAGTAGGATGGCATGGAGTTGGGCGGTGGGGCGGGTGAGAGCGTCGGCGATGTTGGATGCACCCTTTTTGTACGTGACGGTGTAGTGAAAATTGGACTCGAGATAGTCCAACCAGCGAATCTGTCGTGGGTTGAGATTCGGTTGGGCGCGAAGATACTGTAGCGAGCGGTGGTCTGTCCGTACTGTCACGTCGGCGCCAGTCAGGTAACATCGCCAAACTTTGAACGCGTGCACGATCGCTAGCATCTCGCGGTCGTCTATCGGGTAGTTACGTTCGGGCGGGTGTAACTTGCGGGACTCGAACGCGATTGGCTGAAGGCCGTTCCCGAAATCCTGCAACAGTACTGCTCCCACAGCGATGTCACTTGCGTCGGTGACGAGCTCGAACGGACGGTGGGGATCTGCAATGTGAAGGACGGGCGGGGAGCACAAAATATTTTTGAGGGCCGAGAAGGCAGCTTGCTCTTTCTCCCCCCACGTGTACTCAACCCCCTTCCTCAGCAGGTCAGTCAACGGGGCAGTCAGCTTCGCCATGTCGGGGACGAACCGGCGCACGTAGTTGACGAACCCCAGGAAACTCTGCAACTCGGTCAAGTTGGTCGGCGCGTGCCAAGCCTGAATCGTCGCAATTTTCTTCGGGTCTATTTCCACTCCTGCAGCTGAAATAACATGTCCCAAAAACTCCAGGCGGTCCTGTAAAAACTCACACTTAGATGCTTTGGTCAGTAGGCGGTTCTCACTCAGGATTTTAAAAACTGCTTCGATGTCTTGTAAGTGCTGTGCTCTGTCAGGGCTGTAAATCAGTATGTCGTCCAGATAAACGATGACGCACTTATCTAAAAGCGGGCGGAATGCTTCGTTCATGGTCATTTGGAAAGTGGCGGGGGCGTTGGTCAGTCCGAATGGCATGACGGTGTATTCGAAGGACCCGTAGCGTGTTCGGAATGCGGTTTTAGGGCAGTCGGGTGGGTTGACGCGGATTTGGTGGTAGCCTCCACGGAGGTCGATTTTCGAGAAAACCCGGGCTGTGCGCAGTTGGTCGATCAGTTCGTCGGCTCGTGGGATGGGGTAACGGGATTTGATGGTAACCCTGTTCAGTGCCCTGTAGTCGATGCACATACGAAAACCCCCGTCCTTTTTCGGTGTGAACAGTATTGGTGCGGCGAAGGGCGACGAACTGGGGCGAATGAATTCCTTTTCGAGCAGGTAATCGAGCTGCTTCCTTAGTTCGTCTAGTTCGGGTTGGGTCAGTCGGAACTGTCGCTGTACTGTTGGCTGTGCCCCCGGTTCCAGTTCTATCCTGTGATCGTGCGGTCGCTGAGGTGGCAGTCCCGTCGGTAAGTCATCCGGGAAAATGTTACTGTACTGTTTTAACAGTGCCGCCAGGTCACTCGGTACGTCGGTCAGCAGTTTCTGTAAATCGCCCCCCTTGTCTGCTGCCTCGGCTTCCCGAATGTCAACCGCGTACACGTCAGCTCCGGCCGCAACAGCGCGTTTCATCGTGATCGCGTTGACACGCACCGACGAAGACTCAGGCGAGCCCCAGCGAGGTAAGGCGATGTTGTTACCGTTTACTCGCACGGTGCAGTCACCCGTCGTCCAGTCAATTCGCGGATTGTCGTCGCAGCCAATCACGCCCGAGTAAAATGTCGGTTCCGTCGAGGGTCGTTGCGAGCATTTCCTGACTAAACGTGAAGTTACCCCCGCATCGAATCCGAACTCGGTCTACGCGTTCCCGTATTGCCAGCGGCGTGCCGTCTACCAGTCGTGCGTCGATCTCAGGTAAGCATCGGTCCAGTGGCAGTCGCAGTTTGCGTGCTGTAGCAGTGTTAATGAGGCTGTGGCTGGCTCCCCCGTCTACGAAGATTTTAACTAAGTCCGTCCCAATTTTCCCACTGAGCAGTATAGGGCTATCTACCGTGGTACCCTCCTTATTCGGCCGGGTGTGGTCGATTGCGTGAACCGGCACAATCACTCGGTGAGGGTCGGTTGGGTCGGGCGAGCGGCGTGACCTGTCAGTAGAGGGCCCGTCTGCTACTGACTTCCAGCATTTCCCTGCTGCTTGGTCTGTGTCTGCTGCTCCGCTTCCCCCTTTCCCTTAGCGTTTTCCGGGCATTCGCTCTTGCGATGTCCCGGCCGATTGCACGCAAAGCAGCGCCCTTTGAACGGTGCGGCAGCGGCATTTGCGGCGACGGCGCGTATCGTGGCGCTCTCGTTCGTCCCACGAGGCCGATGTCCCCAGGTGTTGTTTCCGTAGGACCCCGGTCTCGGTCGGCGAAAGAAGTCGAGCTTCTCCGCCATAGCGAGAATTTCCTGAAACTCAGTGACGCCGCGAAGCTGGATTTCCTGAGCGATGTCCTGCTTCAGGCCGCCGATGTAGCGGTCGATGCGTTCGCTCTCATGCATGTAGCCCACCTGCTCGCATAGCGCCAGAAATCCGCTCGTGTAATCCTGGACGGAACCGAGTTGGCGCCAAGTGCGGAGCTTCTGTCGCGCCGAGATCGAGGCCGCGATTGGCTCAAATCGAGCGCGCAGACCTGCGCACCACGCGTCCCACGTGCGATACTGGGGCACCTCCACGAAATACGACGGCGCCCAGGGTCCGGTTTGTCCTTCCCGTGTCGGTAGTGTCGCGTAGTCGGCTGGCTTCGTGACGATGACGCGCCACCAGTCCATGGCGGGTCCTCGCAGCAACGACACGGCGTATCGAATCTTCGCCGAGTCCTCCGAGACGTAGTTGGCGTCGAAGAAAACATTCATTGTGAATAACCACGCCTGAACGGTAGGACCACCCCGTTGACTCGGGTCAAAGCATGGCGGGCGCTGCGGCTTCAGCGGCATCGGTGACGGCAGTCCCGAATCGTGGGTTGGTGCCGAAATCGTGACGCGAGGCTGACTTGGGGCCGCAGGCGTCGTTCTGGGGTGTGTCGTGCCGTGGTCGTCGTCTCCGTCGGGGCGGACGACGCCATCACTGGCCGCGCTCGCGGGTTGCCCCACACTCCCGTGTTGTGATGTTGAGGGTGCGGGTTGAATCGGAGTGCCAGGTGCTTGAGATTGTGCTCTCAGGAGGTCATTTTGCAGTGATGAGCGTTCTGCCGTCAATGCCGCGATTTCCTCGGAGCTTTCGTGCAGTTGTCGCAGCAGATCGTTCAAACGCTCCTGCGTGAGAGTGGTGACGTCGATGTTTTCGGCCATGACGAAGGGCGTCGGCTCGTCTTAGTCTAGGCGCAGTCGTGGCTGCACGCGTTTACGAGAGAACGCGAGGATAGCGGCTCCTAGGGGCTAAGGTGCGTGAGTCCCTTCGAGTGAAAAATCAAAAGTTGATTTCCTGGTGTGCGGAGATGCGCGGTCCGAAAGAAAGGGGCTCTGATAACCAAGTGTTACGGGTGCAATGAATCGAGGTAGCGAGAATTGTACTAAGGTGTCAAACGAGTACAAAATGTGAGCGAAGGCATGAGCGAACATTTATACGCGAAACATGCAAAACGGTAACGCGGTGCGTGCGAGCTTGCTAGTGCTACGCTGGAGCAAGGCTCGGGCTAGTCCCGAAGCGTAGGCCGATACGGCCATGCCAGCAGTGCGAGGTTTGGTAAAACAGTGCGCGCGAAGTTGGCGAAGTTCCGTTAGCAGTAACGGGCGAACAATCGGCTGTTGCTGTACGCGATGTAGTCGGCTCCGTAAGGAATGCTGAGAAAATTCCTTACAGTTTTCCAGATGTTTCCCCCTGTAACCCAAGAGAGAGAGCAACTACAGGTCTATACTGTACCTTTCCAGTTACACACCACCTTCACTTGTTCATGTAGTGTTCTTTGTACTTGGTATTGTTTGAATTCTGAATGTTGAGAACTTTGGTGCAAATGTGGCTTTGTGGCTGCAATCTGGCAATATTTACAATTGAGGATTGCACAAAACTACTCAGTCCTAGGGTCAACCAGTCGCAGGAGTGTACCCTCCACTGACACTCCAGGGCCAAAGGCCAGCGCCAGCGTCCACTTGTCACCCTCCTTTTGGCGGTTATCACGTCGCACTTTATCTAGTACAAACATGATGGTGCATGATGCCATGTTCGCATACTCCCGCAGAATATCCCTGAAAAAGGACATCACACCAACATTTGGTGGCGCAGCGTCAGCCGTGAGAAAATTCATGCAAAAGCGAGTGTTGAAAAACAATTCCTAACACACGCACCTGCTGACTTGGACCTGCTTGGACTTGAGCCCGCACCCCCGCTGAGTCATGTCCACAATGGACTTGCCGCCCGGGTGCACGGCCCACAGCATGTCACTGTAGCTCAGGTTGCCCACCAGGCTGCGCACAAAGGGGTTCACGTTGTTCCCCACCAGCTGAGTTGGGGAAATCAAGAACCAGTGGGCAGAGCATGGGGTGGGGTGTTAGAGCATGGGGTGGGGTGTTAGAGCATGGGGTAGGGTATTAGAGCATGGGGTGGGGTGTTAGAGCATGGGGTAGGGTATTAGAGCATGGGGTGGGGTGTTAGAGCATGGGGTGTTAGAGCATGGGATGGGGTGTTAGAGCATGGGGTGGGGTGTTAGAGCATGGGGTGTAAGAGCATGGGATGGGGTGTTAGAGCATGGGGTGGGGTGTTGGAGCATGGGGTGGGGTGTTGGAGCATGGGGTGGGGTGTTGGAGCATGGGGTGGGGTGTTGGAGCATGGGGTGGGGTGTTAGAGCATGGGGTGGGGTGTTAGAGCATGGGGTGGGGTGTTAGAGCATGGGTTGTTAGAACCAGCGAAGGCAAACCACGCAAACCATTCTAGAAGCACAAAATGAGCGAGCTTCGGTGTTGATTGAGGCCCTACCTCAAAGTGCAGGGCCTACCTCGGGGAGGTTCTTCTTGAGCCCCACGTCGAGCCCATGGCACACCACGTTGGCTGTGATCACATCCTCGCTGTCCGGGATGTACGTGGTGCCGTGCCTGTGCACCTCAAACACCGCCTTCTCGCCCTCTCGAGGCTTCGCACCCAGGATGAACGCTGAGGGTTAAAGGAAGAGAGAGACAAGACGGGAAAAAAAAAAAGTGGAGGGAGGGAGGGAGGGAGGGGATGGGAGTGAAGGGAGGCAGGAGAGGTGGATTTCCAGTGGTCACGTTCGAAAAAAAAAAAAAAAACTCGCATACAGACTGCACTGATGATGTGGTTGTGTCCTGACAAAGGTGCTTCTGTCAGACTCACCACCAGCGCCGTCAGCAAAGATGCAGTCGACGATGATGTTGTTGATGAGGTTGTCTGGATTGAGCGACTGAGCGTTGACCGAGTTGACCTCCACCGCCACCACGAGCACGCGGTGCGACGGGTCCCCTGCAGCGATCTCAGCAGCAGTGCGCAGCCCGATGACGCCTGCATGGCACCCCATGTAGCTCACGTACAGGTGCTTCGTGGACTGGGGGAGCCCCATCTGCTTGATCAGACACATGTCCAAGCCTGATTGGCGAACGAAGTGGGGGTATAGAAAGGAGAAGAGAGGGGAGTGAATAGGCTGCGAAGCAACTTTGTAATCCGAAACAGGGATAGTCGAGAGTACACAAGACATTGAAGAAGAATGGGAATGTTCTCCTAGGAAAAGATGATGATTTTCAAGGAAAAACGGAGGAAAAAAAAAAAAGGTGTACCAGGGCAGTGAATGCCGGAGGTGGAGAAGGTGATGACGTGCGTGATGTCCTTGCGGTCACCTCCCCAGTCGCTGATGGCCCTCTCACTGGCCGCCTTGCCCAGGGCAACAGCCGGCTCGAGCCAGAGCTTGAGCCGCGTGTCGAGGGAGGGCGAACCGAAGGCGGCGATGGAGTCGTAGGTGTTGAAGATGTCGCTGTCGTGCACCAGGTGGCGCGTCTTGATGCCACAGTTCTCAACTGGTTGTTGAAAGGGAAATAGAGGCAGTCAAAAAAAAAAAAAAAAAAAAAAACCCTTAGTAAAAGGAAAATGACACTCGGTGTTGAAAGCCTTTGTTATGGACGAGACAAACAAGAAAGAAACAGGCTGGAATCCTGAGATCCCCAAGCCCCACTCACTGATTCGCTTGGACAGGTCCTCGGTCTTCTTATCCGGGAACGGCAGCGTTGTGACAAACTTCTCATGAAATTCCGCTTGTGTGACCTTCCTGTCCGGGTTGGCCGTCCCAATGCCCAGGATATGCGCTAGTCCTGACGCATCTCCCCCCACAGGCACCGCGGGGCCAGAGTTGGTCTCGTTAACATTGAGGCTGGAGACGAAGGCGGAGACAGCGCTGACGTCCTCGTTAGAAGGAGCAGCGTTAGTGAGCACCACAGGCGTGTCCATGTCGAGAAGGCCGGCCATGGTGAGGAGAGAGAGCTACGAAACGAGAGGGAAAATGAGAGTCTGGGAGCTAGTGTGCGTAAACTGGGTCCTTGAGACCTCGCGGTATGAACGAGGCGAGGAAGAGTGAGAATTAAGGCGACGAGTGGTGGTTTAAGAGCAGGCGCCAAGGGCTGAATTTACACAAGTGCTGGGATTTGGTGGAGCGAAGGAGAGTGAAGCAGAAAGCAGAAGCACAGTCTGAGAGCAGGAGTACTGATTGAGAGTAGGAACTCAGACTAGAAAGCCTGAGAGATGGGAAGGTTGGAGTGTGATTACTACCCCAACAGCCATCCTTCTTATAGGAAATATGCGCGATGCATTGCATTGATCAAGCGGGAAAGCCGCTTCGATACTGACGTTAGACTGTTCCTAGGGAACCTCCTCAGGCATCATGCCATGTCAACATCCCAAAAATCAATGCCGTGCGATGCCTATGCCATGCCGTGACATGACATGACACGACTTGAGATCCTAGTCATTACTGGTAGCCCGATGGTCAAGACATTAGACCAGCCCTTAGCATGGTAGGGGGACGACTAAGGAATTTCGTGTGTGACCAGTTCAAGGCCTGGGTGCGTCGCACGGGTCGCGGCTCGTCCGCGAACAGTCGAGTCATCGGCACGATGCTACGCGCGTCTGCCTGCGACACCTCCAGCGTGTGCTTGCGTGCGACGCTGGGCGACAGCGTTCGCGAAAAAAATAACGCGTTCCCGAGGAGCTGTCCCGTCATCGGGAGAGTCGCGACGCGATACAAACCGGTACGAAACATCAGCAGTCACTTCACTTATTGGGAAGGCCTTGGACCCAGGAACGATATTCGCGACTGCGGTTGACGAAACCGAGGCGGTGTGGTGACCAGGGGAGGAAGGATCCGTTTTATCAAATTATTTTGATCGTACAAAATGTCGTTATCGCATCGTGCTAGCCGGTTTTGACGGTATTGGAAGGATCGGAATGATTAGTCACGTGATGAGGTCAGCCATGGCTCAGCCAAGCAGCTGTTGCTGCGTTCTATGTCGTCACTGCTGTCACTTCTGTCACCACAGGCTGTCATGCAGGGAGTCATATATTCGGTTAACGCCAAGAAAAGTAATAAGGAAAGCACTTAGGGCTACCGAGCATGTGGTGCGTGTTTCTTGACGCGACGCGACACAGAAGTCATGACGACAAGTACGGATTGGTGGATCGAGATTCGAGGCGATCAAATGTCCTGTCAAAATCAAGACTAGGGGAATAACAGACGGCATAGGATAGGTTGAGAGTTATGACCGTCGTGCGTCGCTGTCAAAAAGGGCTTTCCAAGGCGGAGACTCTTAGCTGACGCTACGAAACTATGGACCTATGGAGAACAGTCGCATCTGTCGGCAATGTCCATGGCTGCTCACTCACCTCCACCATTTCTGACGCTTTTATGCCAATCTCGATGTTTCTGAACTGAATGTGACCCTTGGCTGACCATCCAATCTGGTTCAGTGCGCTGTCGCACGGTAAGGTGCCACCACGTAACAAAGCAAAATACTGGTGCGAACCCATGCGACATCCCTTGAGCAGAAAATGCACGTTTCCTGAGAGAGGTTCGGGAACACTCTGAAGCAGGAATAGAATCTCTCTAGAAAGCTCTGTGCCGTGCCCGATCTCCTTAAAACCCAGTGAAAGAACGAGCCTGCCTTGAAATGGCCAGCCGAACCTCCTTGGCGGCCCGCCAGATTTCTTGCAGAAAGTCGAACTCCCGCACCGCACCACCCACCAAACCTGGAGTACTCCTTTCTGACATGCTGGGACGTTGATCACAAACCTGTGTGGTGTGGAGTCGCTTTACAAAACTGTCTGCCCCCAGCGAAAAGCGTTTCCTCGGCAGCCCCACAAGGTCATGGTGGCCGTTCCTCATCCCACAGTCTACGACCAATCATTTCCCGTTTCAGTAACAAAAAATTCGCAGCTCCTCGTGTAGCCGGTGGATCAGAGAATGCAAGACCGCATTACGAAGTGGGAAACGGGAAGAGGTGGTAGAGTTCTGTCTTGGCGGTTCAGAGAGAAATACTGCGTTTCAAAACGATCAAAAGTTTTAAAACAATGGTGATGTGGGGTATTCAGGGATAGAGCTAGGGCTTGGGCGAAATTATCCAAGCAGTTTCGCCGCATTTGAGTTTTTGGTAACCACTTTCTCCTGTCACACAGACCAAATCTAGATGTTTCCATGGCTTCCACCCTGCTTGTCGTAGCTCTCACATAGGCCTTGCTGTGACGACTGCCAGGTACGGATCTTTGCTGACGAGCATAATAGTGGATTAGAGTGCGTCCGTCGGCCCCGTTGGAGCTTTCAGTCTTTATTGTCGGATCGGCACGTTTCCCCAGAATTCTTTGCGTTCTGTCAGAATGTACGTGCAAGAAGTGCGATCGCAGCCTCGTCATCGAGGAACGAGCGAAATAACTCCTGAAGATGACGCGGACAGCATACCTACCACGTCAGCTCACCCCGCAAGTAACGCGACGGCGGTGAACGATGAGGACGACCGGGACGAGAACGGGGTTGGTTCGGGCGACATTGCTCTTGACATGAAAATGAAGCCAACGCCGCCGCGGAAACGGAGTAAACTAGAGTCGGCAGCATGGCTGCTTGCTTGCGTCGCGATTCTAGTATTCGGCGACGGCAAGCGGCATTTCTTCCAGGCGGTGCTCAAGGACCCTCGCGTGCACAAGTAAGCCGACACCTTCTCGTCCTTGTTCGTTGTGACAGTATGACCAGGTACTCCGATACGAGTCAAGAATTCATGTTCTTTCAGGCAGGGCATCCTAAAGCGGCCTCTGAATGTTTCGGGCTTGAAAAGATTACCATTCCGTCACCACGATTTGCTAAACCCGACCCAAATGCCTGGTGGTCTGTACAAACACACGTGCTGTAAATGCAAGAATTACAATCAAACCCTTGACCTAAGGATTGTTTCCTCACTCTGTCTCGTTCCCTCGTTTTGTTGTCTTAACTATTCCTGAACTTTAAGTCTCTGATATCCTTCAACCTGTAACCTCTCCAATTTTCTCCACCCCCTTCACCTTCTGTCCATACCCTTCCGGTTTCAAGCAGGTTACCATCACAATGTTCTCAAATATGTACGTCCTCTACTTTCCTTCCCCTCCACTCCCATTCACCCCATCCTCCACAATTCAGGCAACAATTCTTTGTGGCGTGTGTGTGCATCATCGTCAACGTGGCCGTCTGGCTCTACCTCACTGTCCTCATCCGCCTCGTGCTAAAAAATACCCGTCACTTTGAGCTTGCTGCTCCTGGAGCCAATGCAACCACAACATTGCTTAGCTTCATGTCCTTCATACTGTAAGTACTACCTCTACTTTTGAAGAGCCCCTTTCACGATACCATCTAGGATTTGTAGTCCAGTAGGAGTGGTGGGGCTTTTGACGCCTGGCTGCCAAAGATGCTTTAGTGTGCACTGTTGCAGTCAGTTGGCCGCTTGCTTTGTGGTGAACCACATTTCATGTAAACTGGTACGTAAGGAGTTCTCATATTTTTTGTCCATTTCCAATGCTGGTTCATTCTAGTCTTGTCATCAAGGCATCTAGTGGGGCGAGAGGTGGGAAAGGAGTTTGCTTTCCTGAGGCACATTTATCTGTTCCCTTGTGACCTCCCTTCCACAGATTTGCGATTGCATTATGGCCAGTCTTTGGCTTCTTCATCATCCCTATCCTGGTACGTGCTTCTACCCTCTCAGGTGCTTTTCCACCCGGTCATACATTCATCTGCATTTCAATTTTGCTACGGGCTATTGGCAAGATAGCCCATTATAGAGTCATGTTCTTTTCGTTGCTTCTTTGACTCCTTTGTGTTGCTTCTTTGACTCCCCTCGGATGTTCCACTACCTCAAGGTTGTTCCATGTCGTTGTCCATATTTATCAAACCCCCTCCTGCACTTCTGTTGTTTCCTGACATCCAGTGGGTATTCTTCATGACCTTAGTGGTCATTCTTTCAACCATTCCTCCCTACTCCCCGAAGTCCGCTGAAGACATGGAATAGCTGGAGGATGCCACAACTGGGGGAAACACCCAGTGAAAGGCTATAGTTTTTTTTTAGCTCTGAACAACTGTTGTGTGGACCAGTGTCATGTCATTTCTTAAACCCACGTGACCAAGTACTGTATTCATTACAATATCAGCTCGTTAACACACATAGTAGTTGCACTACCCAATCACCACAACTGCAATGTGATGATATCCGTGAAGGCTTGGTACAACCTGTGACCTATCTATCCTCCATGGACGACCCGAGATCTGCATGGAACGATTATGGTGAGAAAGCAATAATGGTGAAAGGAGAAGAATTAGCTGACAGACACGAAGGCACAAGAAAATTAAACTAGCTCTGCACGTGGGCCCTTGCAGAAGACACTAAAAAAGACAGGTATCAGTAGCTTGGCCCCATCAACACGCACTTGACCCTTCAGGCAAGGAACGTTCGCGTGAGCCCAGACAGTCCTGGGGGACGGATGTTTCCCAAAATCTTATGAACGGTATCCCGTCGTACCTTGATCACATGGACATGGAGAGAGAGCAGGGCGACGGATATTTAAACAACGAATGAGTTTTCCCCATTGTTTGTAAACGGTATGCCGTCATACCTTGATTACGATCCGACGATAATGTTGTTGATGGGGATGAAAATTAGTTTCACAAAGAAGCCGATGAATCCCATGACCACGAACCCAATGGCTGTCCTGGATGCAACTTTCGTGAATTCTGCACGTCATAGACCATAGGAAAATAAGAATGATGAAATTTGAGCCCTGATAAAGAGCAAGGAAGCTGAATGAAGACGCTCAGTTAGGAATAGCCGAATCGTAACAAAGTAGGTCACAAGGAACCTAACTGTGGAGGGAGGAATGACACGATTGCGAGAAATGACGGCGCGGAAGGGGATTGCGAAGTTAATCCGATGTCAGGGCAAAACACGTGAACGGACCTTTCCGATCTGGTTTATGACACCGCTTCACTAGTCTGATGCTGTCCTTGGCGAAGTCCTGCACCGGCTTGACGACGTACTCAACAGCCTCCATTCTCCAAATTTAAAAAAGATCTGAAAAAATAACCCAAATTTCGATCTTGTGATGGTGGCTATGCCGACGAGGTTCGTGAAAGTAGCTCGGGGTATGGCTGTTGCAACTAGGTATCTAGAGATCTGTAAGAGGAACTGTGCGAATGGCAGTTAGAAAGAGGTGGGATTTGCGCAGGCAGGTTGAAGGAACTTCCGAGATCTCCGTCCGTCGGGTCGGGTTGAATACTCGTTGCAAGTACTCTCTGTGAATTTCCTCGGTAACAAAATAAGCTCAAGGATTTTCAGAGAAATTTTCCTCACGAGAAAAAAATACAACTCTCAATACATCATTACTTTTGTGAAACAACAACTTAAGTAAGCTCCTCTTTTTGCATTTTAACTTCCTGTCAATTACGGGCTCTTTGCTCAGGTGCTCATTTGAAGGCTTGGATTGGATTGGAATGGAATGGACCAGAAACACGCCTTTGTCCAATGCACAATCTCCTTCACGAACCAGTTGGATTTCTCTAAAAAGCTTCAGGGCATGGTCATTAGGGTGCACACAATACGGTACTAGCCCAGCCAAAACTGAAACAAAATTGACAGAAGCATATCCAGGAGTGGTACTGGTGAATCCATAGCTTTTTAATTAACATTCAATCTTAAGCTTTTGCTACGACAGGCTCCTCGGCGTATTTCAGAGCACGAGTCGTTTCAAAGAAGTGCAAGACGCTCTCCTCTGGTGTCCCCACCAACACGCCGTGGCCCAGGTTGAGAATGTGGCCGCGCGGACCCGCCTTGGCAACACAGCTGTGGGAGAGAGTGAATGAGAACGAGGGTAGGGGGGGTATGAAGGGTGGAAAGAAATATGGCAAATCTTTATCGGTAGAATAAAGAACAGAGCATGTCCCCACCACCACGTCATGGCCCAGGTTGAGAATGTGGCCCTGTGGACCTACCGGTACCTTGCCCTCACACTGTGAGGAACTGAGTTAATGACAAGGGTATGGGGGGTATGAGGGGTGGGAAGAAAGACAGCAAAAACAGATGCACTTCCAATATACATTTGTTGCAGCAAGTTTCCCACCAATGGATTGTACCTGTCGTGGCATCCTTGGAGGTCAAGAGCACAGCTGGGTCCACATTCCCTTGCACAGACAGCACTCACAATATGCAGCTCGTGATGCCATAGCAATCACACTCACCGGTGAATAGCATCAGTGACGGCGTCCTTGGAGGCGAAGAGCACGGCAGGGTCCACGTTCCCCTGCACCGACAGCCTCGGCTTCGCACTCCCTCCGGGCCTCGCCCCCAGAGCGCCGTCCATCCGTGCCCGTGCATCGGCCATGTCAATGGTCCAGTCAACACCAATGACAATCACACAACACCCAAGATCACTCACCGATTGATGGCATCAGTGACAGCATCCTTGGAGGCGAAGAGCACGGCAGGGTCCACGTTCCCCTGCACCGACAGCCTCAGCTTCGCACTCCCCCCGGAACTCGCCCTCAGAGCGCCGTTAATCCTCGCCCGTGCATCAGCCATGTCGATGGTCCAGTCCACTTCGATGACGTCAGCCCCAATGGTGGCTATGCACCGACAGCACCCACTGTATATCACTCGTGGTTACAGCGAATCACTCACCGGTGGATGGCATCAGTAACGGCATCCTTGGAGGCGAACAGCACAGCAGGGTCCACGTTGCCCTGCACCGACAGCACTCACAGAAAACCTTTGCTATATGCCAGTTAGTTACAGCAAGTTACTCACCGGTGGATGGCGTCAGTAACGGCATCCTTGGAAGCAAACAGCACGGCAGGGTCCACGTTGCCCTGCACCGACAGCCTCGGCTTCGCACTCCCCCCAGGGCTCGCCCTCAGAGCGCCATCGATCCTCGCCCGTGCATCGGCCATGTCGATGGTCCAGTCAACACCGATGACGTCAGCCCCAGTGGTGGCCATGCGCTCCATGAGACCCCCGCTGCCATTGGCGTACAGCACGACTGGCACCGTGGGGTGCTTCGCCTTCAGCTGGGAGATAACCTGGGGGATGCAGTGAAGGGAAGGAAGGATGCACAGGGACGTTCAAAGAATGAAACCCAGTGGTGGCCATGCGCTCCATGAGACCCCCGCTGCCATTGGCATAGAGCAGATAGGCACCATGGGGTGCTTTGCCTTAAGCTGGGAGATAACCTGGGGAATGGGGGACGATGATAAGGGAGGGATGCAACAGGGGTTCTAAGGGTGAGCCCCAGTGGTGGCCATGCGCTCCATGAGACCCCCGCTGTCATTGGCGTACAGCACGACTGGGACTGTGGGTTCTGCTTCAGCTGGGAAATGACCTGGGGGGTGTAGCAAGGGGTGCACCAGGAACTCTCAAGGGGGTGTTTGTGCTCAAGTTTGTGCTGAAGTTTGAGCACAAATAGCACATAGCACAGCTGTCGAGCGCTCACCTGAATGATGTAAGGCTTGGCCCACTCGTCCCACAAGTCAGGGGGGACAGCATTACGAATGGCACAATATTTCTCATATAGTGAACTGCACAGTGGGCTTGAGGGCTCACTAGAATGATGTACGGCTTGGCCCATTCGACCCACTGGTCGGGCGGCGAAATCACACACGGCACGGTTCGCCCCACATAGCACACTAGTTCACCTGAATGATGTACGGCTCGACCCACTCGTCCCACGGGCCGGGCGGCAGCATTACGAATGGCACAATATTTCTCATATAGTGAACTGCACAGTGGGCTTGAGCGCTCACCTGGATGATGTACGGCTTGGCCCACTCGTCCCACTGGTCGGGCGGCAGCTGGCCGTCCCACTGGTCGGGCGGCAGCTGGCCGCCCCACAAGTCAAACACCTGGATGCACTGCAACTGGGTGACCTGATGGTAGGTATAGGCGCCTTTGCTCCACACTGAACGGGGCTAGGCTCTCACCTCGAATACATATGGATTGGCCCACTCGTCTCACTGGTCGGTGACAGCTTCAAGCACTGCACGGATATTCCTCCCACAGAAGACCAGTTAAGCGCTCACCTGAATGTGGCTTGGCCCACTCGACCCACTGGTCGGAGATAGCAGCTCTAAGAACGGCACTGGTTTACCTCATAGAGCACAGCAGTCGAGCTCTTTCTCACCTGGATGATGTACGGCTTGGCCCATTCGTCCCACTGGTCGGGCGGCAGCTGGCCGCCCCACGAGTCAAAGACCTGGATGCACTGCGCGCCGGCGTCCACTTGGAACGCGGCATATGTTGCGATCTCATTGGCCAGGTGCTGCAGGATCGCGCGCAGCACGTCCGGCGCGCTGTGGATCATGCCCTTGATCTTGGTGTACGTACGCGTGGTGCCGCCCTCCACACAGTACGTCGCCAGCGTCCACGGCGCCCCCACAAAGCCCAGGAGAGCGGCCGTGCCCTCGATCTGCCAGAAGAGGGGGCAGGAGGAAGGGGAGAGAGGGAAGGCGAAAGGAACGAAGGCACGTCAGGCGCGGGGAAGAAGGGTTGGGGGAACGGGGGAAGGGGGGAGGCTGGGAAGGGGGGGAGGGGGGAGAGGGGAAGGAGGGACAGCGGGGAGGGGAAGGAATGGAACAGAGGCACGTGTGGCGCGCTCTGATTCATGGCGTTGACCTCACGTAGTTTCCCCCCACTCACACCGCCCCCATCTCCCCCTCTCCCCTCCCTTGTCCGCTTTTTCATATACCAACGCATATGCTTCCCAAATTGCCGCAGTGACTCATATACAGAGGGCAGCTTTTCCAGCTGCATGGCTACCACCGCCTTGAGACCCTCGCAACTTTTCCCCTGCCCCCACCCTACCCCTCTCCCCTCCCCCTTCCCACACTACCCGCCCCCGTCCCCACCCTACCGCTCTTCCTTCCCCTCCCCCATCCTACCGACAACTCCCGACGCTATCTCCCCTTCCGACGCTATCTCCCCTTCCGACGCTACCCTCCCCTCCCCCAGTTCCCCCTCAACGTTCCCTCCCACGCACCTCTTTCCGAATCTGCCTCAGCGACTCATCAACGAAGTGCAGCTTGTCCAGCTGAACCGGCGTTAACGCCTTGAGATCCTCCGTCGTCCTAATGGGGCTGTCTATAATGGGGCCCTTGTTCTCGTCGATCTCGAACGGAATACCCATCGCATCCAACGGCGTCAGAATGTCCGAGAACAGGATCACGCCGTCGGGCTTGAACGCGCGCCACGGCTGCAGGGTAATTTCGACGATTAGATCCGTCGTCTCGGAACGTTCGCGGAAAGAGGGATGGTTCTTGGAGAGCTTCTGGTACGCAGCCATGTAGCGGCCCGCTTGGCGCATCATCCAGGCGGGCGGGCGCGGAATGGCCTCCCCGCGCGCGGCGCGCACCAGCAGGGGCTCGTCCGCTGGAAGGGGAAAAGGGATGGAGGGGATACGTTGTGATACCATAAGGAAAGTCCCTGATCCAGGAGTCAGGCACACGCGGGGGACGCAGAATGGATTTTCCACGGCCGCCCACGCTAGTGTCTATCACGGACCGACCAAGGTGAATGTTGGAATTCATAAGTTTCCTGTACCTCGTGCGCTAGACACATTGCAGCAAGTATTTTTTGCGTTGTGGAAGAAGCAAGGCACATCAACACCTGCGAGGCATTGCAAGAGGCATTGTCGGGTCTGGGTTGACTTCAGGAAATCAGTTGGAAGGCACACATATCAGCGTCGCTTACCTGACGCCCTGGGCTGCACGGCCCGCCTCTGCGAAGCATTGCAGGAGACGGATTGGGTCGTGAGGGTTCGGCAGGCAGCGCCGTGGAGCTCGGAGCCTGCGAAGGACACGGCGGGTTGACTATCATTGACTATCAGCGTCGCTTACCTGACGCCCTGGGCTGCACGGCCTGCCTCTGCGAAGCATTGCAGGAGACGGATTGGGTCGTGAGGGTTCGGCAGGCAGCGCCGTGGAGCTCGGAGCCTGCGAAGGACACGGCGAATTTCGCGCTGGTCGCCGTCACTGGTGATCGGGATGATTGCGCGATGGTGCCGACGTGGCTCTGCATGCTGATTGGACGAGGGCGAGACAGGGAGCACAGAAATGGAAATGCCACACGATAAATCTTGTACTAGCGACGCAGCCGTTGGACGCGTTGTCGCTACATTCCATCCGAGCAATTTTGCATCGTAAACATTCCGTCGAGCGAACATTAACGATATATTGTGACATACGAAGAGGCACTCCCGTTCTAATGCGCAGAAACGTACAGCTGAGAGGTCGATGTGGCGGCCATGGTTCCAAGGAAGCGCGTTAGCGACGCTGCAAGTCCAATGCAGCACTGCAAATCCTGTCACACGCGAAGGAGTAATATGCGTGGAATTCGGAGCAGGCGTAGCGCCTGGACTCGTGCGTAAACAACTAGCTTCCCTGAAAATGGCTCCGGAAATTCCAGTTCACACAGAAATCAGAAATCATTGAGAGGAAACCAGAATTGGGATTTCCTTGATCAGCCAGCTAGGCGCACTGCTGATAGAACTTGGATGGATGTTGCTGCGCCCTACAACGCTGACTAGGAATGTTGGCTGTGCTGGATGGCCCATGCTGACGTCGTCAACCAGCGCCTATTGGGCAATGTGATTCCCCGTGTCTAGAGCATCGAGCGAGTGGGGTTCCTCCAAATTCCAGGGATTCAGGACAAAACCCGACCTGTGCCATACGGGCTTATGAACTGCTTCGCCATGTGTAAACGTGTGTGTACTAGCTCATTTACAAAACTTTTGGTGGATCTTGCATGTTGTAGTCATCCGTAATCAAAATGGCAATATACACAAGCCAGGAAAAGCACAGCAGCACAGCAAGACAAACCCCTTGCCACGTCTTCACGTTACTCGAAACCATTATTCCTAGCTGTCTCCTTGCTCACACACCCATGGCATGCCCTCTGGGATCCACAAAAAAACGCCAAGCACATATCACTGAACGTTACAACGCCAGTCAGGCACCCATGGTGATCCACCACCCACACACATGGTTCCCCTAAGCCAGTGCATGTGCCATGGCTGCACAAAAATTGCTGCTTGGCTTGCCCTTGCTCACCGGCCGCAACCAGCCTCTCCTTGTTCATGCACCCATCGCATGCACTCTAGGATCCACCAAAAACGCCGAAATCATATCGCTGAATGTAACCCCGCCAGTCGGGCACCCATGGTCATCCACCACCCACACGCGGTGGTTCCTGTGAGCCAATGCCTGCGCCATAGCTGCACAGAGATTGCTACTCGGCTTGCACTTGCTCACCGGCCTCATACGGCCTTTCTTAATGGATGGAGAAGCAGCAGCAGATGACGACGCAGCAGAAGCAGCACCAGCAATTTCGGAATTAGCTTCAACCTTCACTTGCTGTTGCTGCTGCTCCTGCAGCTCCTGCTGCTCCTGCTTCTGCTGCACCAGTTTCAGCTGCTCGCCCCTCTCCCTGCTTTTCCAGTACCTCTCAGTGGCCGGCACTGCCAGCAGCAGATCCTGCACCGTCATGCCGCGCAGATTCCGGGCGGCGAACTGCGCAGTGCAGCCGCGCAGATCCACACTCGACAGCTGCCCCACCAGCTTGCCAGGAGGGAAAGAGGCGGCAGCACTGGCAGGATTGGCAGCTGACGAGCCGTGAGTTGACTGGGTTGACTTGGAGGAAGAGGGGGTGGTGCGGTCAGCGAATGGGTCGACCACTGCCAATGCATTGACATCCCCTGGGAAGGGAAGGGCAGTGGGACGGGGAGAGGAGGGGATAGAGAGGGGAGAGGAGGAAGAGGGGGTGGTGAGTTCAGGGAAAGGGTAGACCACTCCCAATGCATTGACAACTCCTTAGGACGTGAGGGCTGTGGGACAAAGCAAGGAAAGAGGGGTAAGGGAGGGGAGGGGTAAGGCAGGTGAAGCGAGGGTGGATGACGTGGAAACACAGGGGGGATGATGGAAGAAGAAGACAGAGGACACAAACGGGGGGGAGTGCGACAAGATTATCAAACGGCACATATGCATACACAGAAATGGCACATATGCATACACAGAAACGGAACATATTCATACACAGAAACGGCACATATGCATACACAGAAACGGCACATATGCATACACAGAAACGGCACATATGCATACACAGAAACGGCACATATGCATACACAGAAACGGCACATATGCATACACAGAAACGGCACATATGCATACACAGAAACGGCACATATGCATACACAGAAACGGCACATATGCATATACAGAAACGGCACATATGCACACACAGAAACTGAACATATGCATACACAGAAACGGCACATATGCATACACAGGAACGGCACATATGCATACACAGAAACGGCACATATGCATACACAGAAACGGCACATATTCATACACAGAAACGGCACATATGCATACACAGAAACGGCACATATGCATACACAGAAACGGCACATATGCATACACAGAAACTGCACATATGCATACACAGAAACGGCACATATGCATACACAGAAACGGCACATATGCATACACAGAAAAGGCACATATGCATACACAGAAACTGAACATATGCATACACAGAAACTGAACATATGCATACACAGAAACTGCACATATGCATACACAGAAACTGAACATATGCATACACAGAAACGGCACATATGCATACACAGAAACGGCACATATGCATACGCATATGTATTCTCAAACACACACAGATCAGACTTATATAGCCTCACGCTGACTAACTCACCAGCAGACGACTGCAAGAGCTGCAGAGCCTCATACGCGTTGTCAGAGCACTTTACTGTGACAATCCGGGAGTGAACGAGCCCTAAATCGAGGAGGCTTTTAGAGGGTACAGGCTCCAACTGAGGCGCTCTGTCAAGCAGCCACCTCGCCACGTCAGTCTGAGTCAGCACGCAGAAATGAGGGCAGAAAAACTTTCGGGAGGGCGTGCAGCTGCCCCCCGGGCAGCGGACGCTGGGGGAGGGGGAGGCGCGGTGGAAAGCGGTGGTAATGGAATGGTTGGACGAGAGGGCGTTAGCGGGAGTGGTGGGAAGGATGGTAGGAATGGCAAGAGAGACGTTGGAATCAGTTGGAGTGGTCGCATAGGTGGAAGGAGTGAGGGTAGAACCCGTGCCACTGGTTTTCCTCCCTTCCCCCTCCCTCTCCCCCTCCCTCTCCCCCTCCCTCTCCCCCTCCCTCTCCCCCTCCCTCTTCCCCTCCCTCTTCCCCTCTCTCTTCCCCTCCCTCTTCCCCTCCCTCTCCACTTCGCTCTCACTCTTCCTCTCCCCCTCCCCCTCGCCCTTCTTCTCCCCCTCCTCTGTCTCCTCCTCATCATCACTTGGAAACGCGCACGAGTAGTGTGTGTTGCACTCCGAAAGCTGTACAGTGCTCCCTGCTTGTTGCGTATATTGAGGCTGCTTATAAGGAATCGCATCCGGAACCCCTTGCAGGTGCTCTAACGAGAGAGAGGCGACGCCAGCAGCAAGGGGTTTGTGAGGGAGCTGAGAGGGGGTGGAGGAGAGAGAGTGAGGGGAGGTGGCGAGTGTGGTGGTGGTGGTGGAGGGAGTGAGGGAGTGGGAGGTGAAGGAGGGGTGAGAGAAGAGGGAGGAAGAGTTTGAAGTGAGAGAATGGAGAGAGGAGAGGGATGACTGAGAGGGAGGAGCAGAGGTGTGGGACAGGGAGGAGGAGGGAGGAGAGGAGGGAGAGGGAGTGAGACACGAGGAGGAGTGTGGGGGTTGGAAGGATGGAGAGTGTGGAGACGCACAGTGGATGTTTGTGGACGGAGAGTGGGAGGAAAGGGAGTGAGACGGGAGTGGTGCTGCTACCGGTGCGTCGTCTTGCGGAGAGGAGGCAGAGGGGACGGAGGAGGGGCGGGTGTGGATGGGGACGATCAGCCGCTGCACTCCCTGCGCCATGGGTCGCATGATGGTGTTGATGCTGGATGGGGGAGATAGGGGGAGAGGGGGATGAGGGAAAGACAAGGTGTGGATGGGGACGATCAGCCGCTGCACTCCCTGTGCCATGGGACGCATGATGGTGGTGATACTGGGAGAGGTGAAAAGGGGGAGGAGGGGAGACAGTGAAAGGGAAGACACAGAAAGGAGGGAGGGGGTGGGTGTGAATAGGAACGATCAGGCGCTGCACTCCATGCGCCATGGGACGCATGATGGTGTGGATTCTGGGAGAGGGGGGAAACGGGGAGAGGGGGGGGGGAAGGAGTAGGATTTGGGAAGAAAAAGGAAGACAGAGTAGGGAATACACATGAAGATAGGTAAAAAAAAAAAGGTGTGGGTCAGGACGATTGGGTGCTGCACTCCCTGCGCCATGGGACGCATGGTGGTGTTGATACTGGTATGTGGAGGGGAGGATTCGAGAAGGGAAGGAGAGACAGTAAAAGGAAAATTTGACAAGCTCGAAGCGCCCCACTAGTGGGTTTGGAGAAACCCTACAAGAGTGCAACCTTGGAAGCACACAAATAAGAAGAATGGCAGCTTACGGTGGGTTTGGAAGAACCCCACTAGAGTGCGACCTTGGAAGCAAACAAATAAGAGGAAGAGCAGCTTACGGTGCGTTCAAGTCAGTGAGCAGCAGCGACAACCCTTCCTCGCTCGCCCGCACCAGCTGCCCCACTAGCATGCGACCTAAGAAGCACACGAATAAGAGGAGTTGCAGCTTACGACACACCAGGAGGTGGTTTACAGAGCACTTGAAGCAGCTTACGGTGGTGCGTTCAAGTCAGTGAGCAGCAGCGACAACCCTTCCTCGCTCGCCCGCACCAGCTGCTCAACTAGCATGCGACCTAAGAAGCACACGACGAAGAGAGGAACAACAGCCTATGATGCACCTGGAGGTGGTTTACAGGGCAATTAAGGCAGCTTACGGTGCATTCAAGTCAGTGAGCAGCAGCGACAGCCCTTCCTCGCTCGCCCTCACCAGCTGCCCCACTGGCGTCTCCAACTCACACATGCCACCCTCCCGCCTTCCCCTCTCCCTCCCCGTCTCCTTGTCCCATTCCTGCTCCTCCTCCCCCTCCTCCTCCCCCTCCCCCTCACCCTCCCCTTCCCCCGCCCCCTCTCCCTTCCCCTCCCCCTCTCCCCCCCCCTCCCCCTGCGCCACGTGCAGCAGCAGGTCTACCATGGTGACAGTCCCAATGTACGCCTTATTAGCTGCTGCAGTAAGCGAGAGCGCGTCAGAGTCGTATGGCAGGGAGAGAATGGTGCGAGCCAGGGAGCCGAGCGCCTGATGGGAAAGGGCATATGGGAGAGGGGAAGGACAGGGGAATGAGAAGGAAGAAACGTGGGAAACAGGAGGAGAGGCGGGAGGGGAGGAGAGTTATATGGCAGGGAGAGGATGGACCGAGCCAGGGAGCCGAGAGCCTGATAGGAAAGGGAAGAGGGGAGAGCGGAAGGATGGGGGAATGAGAAGGAAGAAATAAGGAACCTAATCTTGGGACTGTATCAAAAGCATGTACCACCTAGCGGGGAAAACAGGAAGGACTAAACGGGTTCGATAGGGGGGACCATGCTGCCTAAATAAGGACGAAACGGGGGAAGCAGCCAGGCCATGCTGGAAACTGCGCGCGTGGGAGCGGGGGAAGTATGTCGCTGCACTAGGGGAGGAGGTAAGGGGGATGGGGCAGCGGGGGAAGAGGAAAATGGGGAAGGGGAGGGAAGGCAGCGGGGGAGGAGGAATATAGGAAGGGGGATGCATACCACAGCAGGAAGAAAGAGCAGGTTGGGGAGAAAAGCGGGGGAAAGAGTACGTGGGAGCTGCTACCAAGTTGTCGTTTAAGCAGGGAGAAGGAGGGGGGCGAGTGGGGGAGAAGGGGGGGCGAGTAAACGGGAGCTGCTACCAGACCGTCCTATATGCGAGGAAAAGGAGAGTTGCATACCACAGCAGTGAGGGGGGAACAGGGAGGAGGAGGGGGGAGGAAGAGCACACGGAAGCTGCTACCAGGTTGCCGTCTACGCGGCGAGCAAAAGAGAGGATAACACATACTGCAGCAGAGTGGGGAGCAGTCGAGTAAACGGGAGCTGCTACGAGGTCCTCTCGCACCAGAGCTTCGATTGTCTCTGAGTCGCTTTTGAGAATTCTAAAAAGCGAGATAAGAAGAGAGAGAGGCATACCGCAGCAGCATGGGGTGCGGTGGAGTAGACGGGAGCTGCTACCAGGTCCTCTCGCACCAGAGCTTCGATTGCCTCTGTACACCCACGTTTCGGTAAAAGCACAATCAGCACAAACGCCAACGGAAAAGGTTGGGGGAGTGGGGGGGAAGGGGAGGGGAACAAAGAACGGATGTGAGGAGGTTTGACCGGCCAGTGAGCCCTGGTTTTGACGCCTGACAGCCTTTGACTTTTAAGTCCACTGAAAAGTCATCTGACGGGCCAGTGAGCCCTGGTTTTGACGCCTGACGGCCCGACGCCTGACGCTTCACGAAAGTCGTCTCTCTGTTGACGCTTGGGTTGATGTTTGACGGCTGACGCTCATTGTTTGACGCCTGGATATCAAGGCTTGGATACTAAGTCTTGAATACCAAGGCTTATATATTAACGTTTAGATGTCAAGGCTTGGATATCAAGGCTTGGATATCAAGGCTTGGATGTCAAGGCTTGGATGTCAAGGCTTGGCTGTTAAGCTGTCGAAAGTCGCCTCGCTTAGATAATTGCCTAAATAGTCGCCTAAACAGTCGCCTACTAAAAACGTAGCCGCGGAAAAATAACGAGAGTCCTGATAGTCTGACGCCTTACCGCCGACAGTCGCGGACTCAGGGAATTCGACGAGGCCGAGCTTGCTCCGCACGAGATCCGCTACCGTGTGCTCCGTTATAATCGCCGCCATCGCTTTGCACCGAATCCGCTAACGTTGACGTTCTTTAAAGGCAGCGTCGGAAGCTGGAATAAGGCGCAGCGCGCACGTCAACGATCACCAGAGAACATTGTGTTTGAAACACGACGCTCAAACGCGGCGTATGACAGCGATCACCGAAAAGCGTTCTGCACGGCGAAAGGCGCGCCCAGGAAATAAACCGAAGACTGGGATATAGGTCCGGCTAACGGTGCGCTGTGCGTCGGACGGTGCGGCGGCAGGTGTGGCGGCGGGTGTGGCGGCGGGTGCGGTGGCGGCGGGATGGTGGAGGGGATGGGTCGGTCGGGACTCGGGGGGGTCGAGGGGTGAGGTGTGGCGGCGGGAGGGAAGTGGTGGTATTGGAGGGGCTGCTCTGTGAGACAAATGTGAGGTTCAATGAGCTGTGTTCCGCTGAAGATCGGTTCGCTCAGTTTTAGAGAACAGCGCAATCTCCATGCAGGCTGCATGAAAAAAGAACAGCGCTGACATCAAGTGCGCCACGTCAGAGGGCTCACACACATGTGTCACGTCAGGTCCTTGTTGGAATTCTTCGAGAACTTGTCATTCACCAGCACCAGCACTGGCAGAAACCGTACGTTTAGAACGTCTTCGCTATATTTCCGCTAATGGTTGAAACGATGGTCTAGGATAATCAAGGTTTATTTCAGGTCATCATTACCTGAGGTACCCAATTCGCCAATTGCTGATTGGCCGAAGTTTGCCTCCCCGATTTCCAATCAGGCCTTCGCGAAACAGGATTGTCTTTGCGAAGACACATCTCTTCGCACCAGTCTTCCTTGAACAAGCAACATATTCATAATTCCCACATTTATCAAGTAATTTTTTATCATACAGTCTTCTGAGGAACAGGTTCTGCCTTTTCTTGCTTCAAGGACGTCGTTTCTTACCTGAATCTTAACTCAGGAAGCATTTCTTGCAGGTTCCGCTGACGCAGCTCATCTAACTAAGATCGTCACAACTCGGATATTGCTTCACGTCGTGGAAACTATGCCTCCTAAGGCCCGATCAAGGAAGGCGCTCGCAGATTCTGGCGTCAATGTGCCTGACGAACCATCACCGACCAAGTCAACTACTAGTTTGCGCAACCGGACAGTTCCAAGAAAAGAAGGCATTGCTGAAAACAATGCAATCGAGGATAAGGCGCTTCCCAGGACACGTGCACAGGCTGCCAGCAAGATACCAACGAGATTATCATCAAGGCCTGACGTTCCTGAGCAGCTCGTGCGTCAGGAAGCTGTTGGGTCAGGATCTTTTCTGAACCGATTGGATACTCTTGAAAAGGAGTTGGAGGCAACTCGAGCGCGGGTAAAGATGCTGGAAGGGGATAACTCAAAGACGCAGGAACAACTAAAGCAGACGCAGGAACTACTGAAGCAGCTGGAAGAGAAGGGAAAGGAAGATCGGAAGTATTATGAAGATAGAATCCGAAGGTTGAAGGATGAACTTGCATCCGTCAGCCATGGACATGGAGCTCCTGAGGACCGGCAGTCAGACCCGAAATCCGAGGAGAAAACCCAGAATGAGAACAATGATCTTGAACTTCAGTCAGCTATGCAACAGGTCGTGCGAGTAATGGTGGAAAAGGTGATAACTACTGTCAAGGATGAGTTGCGCCAAGGCCAAGACACGGAAGGCCAGAGATACAAACGGAGAAGAGAAGATTCATGCACCATAAACAGCCAGCAGCAGGTAAGGCCAGTCAGTTTGCATGCGTGTCACCCTGAATCATGCAAGCCTTCCAAACCCCAAGTTTGTATTTCTTACCATTATCAGTTTTTTTCGTTGCAGAAAGTTGACAGCCCTAATGCTTCAAGCGCCTTTGGCAGCCCTCTGGAGAGCCCTAGTGCTACCCCAAGCTCACGAGCTCGAGCAACAGTCAACAAGCATGCAAATATTCATGACGAACACAGCGGCATCTACAGCATCCATTTCAAGTCACGGGTTAACGACAAGAATGTGGAGGAAGTGGTCGAGGCCCTCCCTTTGGCTTATCCCGAACGTCTATCTTCCATAACCTCCATTGTTATCACTGGCACCCAGTTCGCTCACCCATCTTCCTCGGTTTTCACTGGATCAACGCTATGTCGTGCTGGCCGTCTCCCTGCTCTATCCAGTCTATCCATTTCAGGCCACGCAATCAGTTACGAGGGTGCAGTGTCTATTTGCAAACTCTCGAGCCTCACGTCACTGGAGCTAAGCAACTGCACAAACATCAACAGCATTACGCTCTCCAATATGCTCCCTGGCCTCTGCAAGCTGGAGCACTTGGGACTATCCTCCACCAGCGTCAAAGAGGCAGGCATTCGGATCTTGAGTCAGCATCTCTCTGGAAGCCTCAAATCCCTCAATGTCACCTCATGTGATGGCTTGACAGATGCTGCCTTTGTGCACCTCAGCAGCTGTAAGCGCTTGGAGAAGTTGGAAGCTGGACACTTGGTGAAGCTCTCAGACGCTGGGCTACTTCAACTTGTTGAACTGCCTCTGAAGCATGTCATGTTAAAGTCATCGTCAAATGTCACAGGAGCTTGGCTCCAGAAACTGGATGGAGAAGTAATTGATCGCCTCGAGTCGCTTGATCTCAGCCACACAAAGGTGACTGATGATGTTTTGAAGCATCTGGCGGCTGAGGCCACAGGACTGAAGATTTTGAAGGTCCGGTCATGTCCAAGCGTCACACAGCATGGGCTGAAGGTCTTTCGCCAGTTGGGAAGGGAGTTGACAGTTGAAAACAGTGTGACAGATGCATACGGATTCAGGAGATCATCCCTGATCAAACGTTAACACAATCTGGCAGCTACCGGTATTTGGAGATAGATTGGGAAAAACTTCAGTTGTGCAACTTTAGACGTATATAGATCTCAATTAGTTACACTGTCTGGAAGGCAGCAAATCAGGTTTCACAAAACATTATCTAAACCAATCAACTATTCCCCTTGCCTACAGCATTCACAGCCGAGGGTATGACTCTAGTTTCTTCAGAGCTCCAGCAAACAGAGACTTCACTTGAGAGTACCTCTCCATATCAATAGGACTCAACCCACTCATTGCCGATGCCATTGCCATCTGCATCCTCTTCCCCATCCCACTCCCTCCAGCCGACCATCTGCCACCACCCATCCCAAACCCACTCTCCCCTCCACTGCCTCCCTCCATCCCTTCATCTTCCTCCTCCTCCGACTCTCCATACGAATCACTCCCTTCCATCACATCCTCCATCCCCTCCCCTGCTTCAAGCCCTCCACCACCAGACCCCATTCCGCGGCTGCCTTGCAATCCCTGTAGCGAACCTCCTGCCATACCCGGCATGCCAAGGGACCCTCCCATAACAGCCCCAGCAGTCCCAGCAGCAGAGCCAGCAGCAGCACCCAAGGCAGATGGGTCATGCGGGATCATGTGATGCTGGTGTGGAAGCATCGGGTGCTGACTGCTGCTTCCTCCTGCTGCTCCTCCAGCCATGGCTGCTGAGTGCATGGGGGAAGGGTCGCCATAGGGTAGCATGGTACCGTACGGACCCATGCTGCTATGCATGCCCCCGGTTGGTGAGTCTTGCTGGGAAGAGGTAAGTGCTCCCCCGTGTTCACCCATCTGGTCTTCAGGTTTAGTCCCAGGGAGGGCTGAACGTGTGGGCAAGAGGGGAAGCAATCAGGGCAAAGAAGGAAAAATGAGCGAGCAAGAAACGAGGGAGAGGGGTGTTAGAGAACCTGAGGTTGAAGGGGCAGGAGGAATGCTTCAACCTAACTAAATGTTTAAGTTAATGATTGCTACAATGAAAAATGAGAAGCCTATTGACAACTTCAACTCGTCCAACAAGTTGCTCCACTCTCTACCTCTTAGTTTCTTCTGGATTAACTAACTCAGAGCATACCTCGCTTGCGAGCAGTGGGCAGCTCGTGGCGGCGCTTGAAGCGGTAGAGCCACCCGTCCGACACCTTGAACTCGTCCGGCAGGATGCTCCCCTCTCTACCTATCATACTTTCCCCAGAGCCAGCTATCCCCCACAAAACTCACCTCGCTTGCGAGCAGTGGGCAGCTCATGGCGGCGCTTGAAGCGGTAGAGCCAGCCGTCCGACACCTTGAACTCGTCCGGGAGGATACTCAGCTCCACTGAGAGCTGTCTGGCCTTGTCCACTATCATGGCATCACTGATGTTGGCGTGCATTGAACTCACCTGTTGCAGGAGGAGGAAAGGGACAAGGGAAAAGAGGGAACGGGGGGGATGGGAGACATAATCACCTCAGCTCCACCAAGAGCTGCCTGGCCTTGTCCACATCATGGCATCTCTGATGTTGGCGTGCATTGAACTCACCTGGAGGAGGAAAGGGGAAGCGGATGGGGGGTGTTTGAGTCAGGGGACGAGGGGGAAGGGGAAGCGGATGGGAGGGACAGTGTCAGTTCCACTGGGAGATGCCTGGCCTTGTCCACTAATATGACATCGCTGATGTTGGCACGCACTGAGCTGTTTCATCCCCTGTGATAGCAGATTCATGAAATCACTAACACGCATGCACCAACTGCACCCACGCACCTGTCGGTACCAGTGCGCCAAAGCAGCTTCCATCTGGGGGAACTTGGCCATGCGGCACCGCTTCTGCTTGGCTGCTGCGCCCGACACTCTGAGCCACCTGGGCGCGTCCTTGAGAATCTTGGAGACCGTTGTGCGACTGAGCCTCACTCCATACCGCCTGTACACCTGCATGACGCACAATTGGGGGAACGAGAGGGGATCGGGAGGGGGTGTGACGGAGAAGAGAGATAAGAAACCTCTATCTGGCAGATTGCCTTCGGTATCTCATTTGTACAAAGCAGCAGCTTTGCTGTTCACGAAAACATTTTAGGGTGGTTGCTTGTTCACCAAATCAACACACCTGCTGCACCCTCCCTTCCCCTCACCTGCTGCACCCTCCCTTCCCCTCACCTGCTCAACCATCTCGTCTTGAGACACGTCCCCCAGCTGCAGCTTCAGCTCGCAAATCTCCTTCTTCACCTGCCCTGTCACCGCCACCCGCCGCCGAACCGCCGACATGCGGCTCCAAGCCTCGGGGTCAGCTCCGAGCGCCGCCAAGGCTGAGGCTCGGCTGAGCACCAGCGGCTGGTCCAGGGAAGGGACGGCTGAGATCGCGCCTTCGGATTTCGCCGAGGAACCCATAGCCATTGATGTGGGAGAGAGGTGGACAGGCGTGGGATGGAGAACTGAGACTTGCTGGTTGAGTTGGGAGGGGAGGACCGAGCCTGGAGGCATGCCGTGCTGCATGGCATGGGGCATGGCATTGGGCATGCCATGTGGCATGCCATGGGGCATGGTGTGGTGCATGGGATGGTGCATGGGATGCATGGTCATGGGGATGCCTTCTGTTACGGTCATTCCCACAACGTCCGCCCCTTGGGGCATGTGTCCCGGTGCGCCCATGTGCCCTGGGGGGGGAATGAGCGCCTGCGCGGAGGCCATGTGCCCTGGGGGGGGCATGTGCGCGTTAGGAGCGCCCATGTGCGCCTGCGGGGGGAACATGTGGGGCTGCGGGGCGCCCATGTGCGCCTGCGGGGGGGGCATGTGCGCGCCCTGCGCCTGCATCTGCGCGGCTGCTGCTGCTGCTTGCATGTGTTCATGCTGATGCTGTTGCTGGTGCTGCATGTGCATGTGGGGGTGCATGTGCATGGATGGATCCATGTGGGGTTGGGGATAGGGATGTGGTAGCATGTGTTGCTGTTGTTGTTGCTGCTGCTGGTTATGCTGTTGCTGCTGGTTATGCTGTTGCTGCTGCATTTGTTGTTGCTGCTGCTGCTGGTGGTTCTGCTGCTGCTGCAACTGCTGATATTCCATCTGTCCACTGCTATGCTCCATATGCTCGTTCCCAACGTCCATGTATGCATGCCCATGCCCATGCCCATGCCCATGTACCCCCATGCCCATAGTTTCAGGCGGAGCTACGTGCGCGGAAAAGCCCCCATCCGCGGGAATACGCGCCCCTGGCGGAAGGCCCATCTGATCCGCTGATGCTGGCGCGCCTAGCCCTGGCGTTGTTTCCGCCGCCGCTGCAGCTGCCGCTTCCGCTGCTGCTGCTGGTGCTGCCGCTGCTGCAGCTGCTGTTGCTGGTGTTGCCACTGCCGCTGCTGCAGCTGGTGGTGTTGTTGCCGCTGCCACTGCAGGTGCTGCGGGTGCTGCACCCTCCGTGCTCATCACACCACCATCCGCTCCGCCCGCTTCACTCACACGCATATCGTCACCCGCTCCCGCTTTCCCCATCGCCTGCGTTCCCCCGTCCCCCCCAACCATTTCCGCATCGGCGATTCCTGCGCCTGCGGCTTCCCCTTCCGCCATTCCTGCCCCTGCGCTTTCCCCACCTGGCTGCGCGGGTAGCTCCGCGGACTGCTGCGCAGATTGCTCCGCACTGCCTGCAGGAGCCGCAGGGAGCGCAGAATCTTGTTGCATGGGCTCCGCCTGCGGCGGTTCCGCCTGCGGAGGGCCCGCCTGTGGGGTCTCCGCCTGTTGCGCTTCGAGAGGCTGCGGCGGCACTACCAATTGCGACGGCACTACCGGTTGCGACGGCTCTACCGGTTGCGACGGTTCCACCGGCAACTTCTGACTCGACTCCGTCACCTGTGACGGCTGCGGCGGCTGTGGCAGCGACTGCTCTGCCAGTTGCGGTGGTTCCACGGGCTGCGAAGGGACCGAGTCTGCCACAGCCGGCGAAGAGTCCATGGGTGCTTGCAAGTTTACTGTAGGTGTTCCCGAGGTAATGGGAGGATCGGACTTGGTGAAGGAAGCTATGCCCGCTGCTCGCTCCTCTCCTCTCTCCGCTTCACCCCCCTTTGCTTTCGCCTCTCCCTCTACTACAGCGGAAGTGTTTCGATCCGTCGCGTCCTTGACAGCGTGGTTGGCGTCAGCAGTCGGAGCAGTCGAGGAGGGATTCTCAGCCGCGGCTTTAACAGGAGTAGGCGAAGCAGAGACACTTTCCGTCTCCATCTGTTTCGTATCCGTTACCATCCGTTTCGTCTCCGTCTTCTCCGTTTCCGTTCTTTCCGTCTCCATGGCTTCTGCTACCACACCTCCACCCTCGGCATCCGTAGCCGGCCTGTCACCAGGAGCAGCTATGACTTCAGCAGCGTCAATCACGGCGCTACCGTCAACTACGGCGGTGGTTTCAGATGGCGAAGCAGCAGCAGCAGCAGAAGCAGGTGAGCTACCCTCAGGCCTACGTTCGTCGTCGAGCCTTCTCTCCTCGTCACACATCGCCTCGCCTTCCGGCTGCTTGGTACTACCACTCGGTTCGCTCGCGGTCGTCGTGGCGACATCAGCGCCATCGTGAGCGCTTGAGCGTGGAGGTGACGCGAGATGGCTGTTCTCGACGGGTGCAGTCTCAACAATGGCACTATTGGCTCCCAATCCTGCAAACACGAAAAATGTAATCAAATATAATAAACCAAATAGAAGTACACGATGAGGAGGGAATCAAGCAACTTGACGCTATAATGGCAAGGACATAGCCGCACACGCAGTATTGAAAAACGAAAATTCGTCACAGTCGATGGCAACGAAAAAAGAAGAGTACGACAACAGCATCGAAGTTTACAACTTCAACGATAGAACGATCACGCCTGCAGCTAAAAGATCAGGCTCAAAAGTAGACGTTCGCGTTCAGAGCTAGAAATCAGCGTGAAACTTGCACGGGTGTGACAAAGACGGCGCTAAACTGGCCCTTGGTCGTCTAAACTGAGTCACCAAATACCAAACTAGTACAGTTCGAGAATACTAGACAACCATCACTCGCCTGTTGTATCCGACATTCTTTTGTTCAGGTTGGCCGCGGAAAGGGAGGGTGATGCTAGTGAGAGCTCGCGAACCGGCCTAGAGAAGTTCAAAAAGGTTCTTGAAAAGAAGACGAATGTGAGTGAACGAAACCCTCGCTGCAGGAGAGAAGGTTGAATTGAAGGTGATGTAAGGAGGAAAGAGGACGTTGAAGGTGATCCAATGGAGGGAGAAAGAAAGCTTCCAAGTTTGAAGGTGATGCAATGGAGGGAGCGGAACTAACGAAAACGTGACTTGCAGAGATGCGGTTGTGAGGGGTTGAGGGTGATGCAAAAGACGGAATCGAGTTCGTCTTAGTGCGTTTCAGAAAGATGCGTTTGCGAATGAAAGCGTTTCGATCGACATTCGATACGGTTGGTCAGGGTACTGACGCAAGAACAGGATCTGACGGACGGTTAGGGAAAAGGCGCGAAACAGAACCAGGCCTAGCCTCCTCCCAAACCGGCTGACATGGCTTCACCAGACCATACCATAGCAAGCTCAAGCCTATTTCAGACCGAGAGGATGTTCAGGAAAAAGCGGGACTCGCAGACTTCTAAGTTGTTGCAAAAGCCCACTTCTTCCTCACCGATTTTGGTTTTGGGCTCTCGCATTGTCACTTCAATTGTGAGTCTGGAACACGAAAAAAGTACGGCTGGTATCAGCAACTCACGACCGAAATTCCGTCTTGTAAATTTCGCTGTCGTGTGTGGTTCGTGGCTGGTCGTGACCTCGGCCGAACCTAGTCTGAGGTGCTGACCCAAACGGCAGCTCAGTGCGTTCCTTTGCGATCAAAAACGGTGAAACTCTGAGCACGGAAGATATTTTCGCAAGCTGAAAGCTCCCGCCTGGCGTTGGCCCAATGAGAGCATTTCGCCGAGCGAAGTTGGATATTCGTAATTGCTCTGCAGGTTTATCTCATTACAAGCAGGGAGAAACATGAAACCAAACAAATCAATAGAGGACGTGAAAGCCTCTCAAACCTCAAATGGGTTGTCTAAGACATGCAGAGCAGACCTGTAAATTGGGAAATTCCAATGCACTATAAGTTTCAACCTTGCAGGGATCCACAACACCTGTTTGCAAACAGATGAAGCGATATTTTGCTTTGTTTCACAAACCAGCGGTACTACTTCATGTTCCTATACTCTGCACACCATCAAATCAAATCAAATCCGTGGAATAAAATCTTCTAAATATGGCTAGAAACTACCCTCGAAGTCCATATCTTCGTCATCATCACTATCACCATTCCCATCCTCATCCTCACCCCCACTCTCCAATCCCAAGGACGACAATGGCCCCATGCCATGCGGGCGGTGCTGATGCTCGTGCTGGTGCACGCTCCGAAGCTCCCGTAGTAGAGCCTTGGCATCCTCCTTCGCCTGCGATCAAGGCCCAAGAGAACCGTAAGCATGGTAAACCACATCGTAAACTGGCGTCGGGGCAGCAGTGTGTGGGGAGGAAGAGCCACCAACTCATCAAGCGGATGGAATGGCAAGTTATCAAGCGCTGCCCAATTCATCTCACCAAGCAAGCGGATGGAATGGCAAGTTATCAAGCGCTGCCCAATTCATCTCACCAAGCAAGCGGATGGAATGGCAAGTTATCAAGCGCTGCCCAATTCATCTCACCAAGCAAGCGGATGGAATATCGCTCCGCCTCCACCAAACTTCCCTTGGAGCAATTTGTGTGGCCAGGAAGAGCAGAGCTTCTACCAGCTCCAGCCCTTCCACTGGCTAAGTAGTGCAGCATGCTATCCATTCCATTCCAATCCGGTCAATATTCAACTCACGGGGCCACCGAAGTTGAGCAGGCGAGTGGAATATCGCTCCTCCTCTGCAACACTGCCCTTGGAGCGGTGGTGTGTGGCCAGGAAGAGCAGCGCCTCACCAGCCCTGACTGTATGCTATCTAATCGAAGCTTGCAAGAGTTTGACTCACCGGTCCACCGAAGTCGAGGAGACGCGTGGAGTATCGTTCTGCCTCCGCAAGACTTCCTTCAGAGCGGTGGTGTGTGGCCAGGAAGAGCAGCGCCTCAACTAGCTCCGGCCCCTCCACCTGCTCCGAGTCCATTCGATCCAGATTGCGCCTGCAGACAGAGGGCGAACAGCGGAGGACAGTGGATGGTACACTGATAGGTGAAAGGGGGTGGTGTGTGGCCAGGAAGAGCAGCGCCTCAACTAGCTCCGACCCCTCCACCTGCTCTGAGTCCATTCGGTCCAGATTGCGCCTGGGATGTGGGAGTGGAGAGTGGAGAACACACAGAGGAAACCAGCAGTGGACACACCAATAGGTGAAAGCTGATGGTGTGTGGCCAGGAAGAGCAGCGCCTCCACCTGCTCCGAGTCCATTCGGTCCAGATTGCGCCTGGAAAAGGGGAGCACACAGTTGGGGGTAAGAGATGGGGAAAGAGTCGATAATGTGTGGCCAGGAATAGCAGCGCCTCCACTAGCTCCGGCCCCTCTTCTTGCTAAGAGTCCATTCGGTCCAAATTGGGCCTGCAGGGAGGGGAGCACACAGATAGATTCAATAATGTGAAACTCAGTTCACTTTGTGTCTTTCCCCTCCTTTACACTCGTGAAAATTTTTGAGTCGACTCAAAAGTCATAATGTGAAACTCAGTTCACTTGGTGTCTTTCCCCTCCTTCACACTCGTGAAAATTAGCCGCCTGCCTCATCTGCCCCAGCCCCTCCTACGGGTTTGACAGCACGTGCAGCGCCGGGCCTTCCGACTCATTTACTTGTGCACCTGTCTGCCCTTTCATACTCACTTGTAGAAGTGTGCCGCCTGTCTCATCTGCCCCAGCCCCTCATACAGCTTTGACAGCTTGTGCAGAGCTAGCCCCTCGCTCTCATTGCTGGCGACGGCACAGCGGTAGCAGCGGATGGCCGACAGCTTGTGCAGTGCCAGCCCCTCACTCTCAACTCTCACAACCACACATGGTTCATACATCATGCTGCGCCCGATTTGCGCCTTCCCTCACGTAAAGACTCACAAGCGGTAGCAGCGGATGGCCAACGGCTTGTGCAGCGCCAGCCCCTCGCTTCCAAGTCCCACTACCACACATGGTTCACACATCATTCTGAGCCCGATTCGCGCGTTCCCTCACGCTGAAAGACTCACTTGTAGAAGTGTGCCGCCTGTCTCATCTGCCCCAGCCCCTCATACAGCTTCGACAGCTTGTGCAGAGCTAGCCCCTCGCTCTCATTGCTGGCGACAACAACACTCATTTCGTGTTATATGAGCACCCACCCTCACTTAGAGACTCACTTGTAGAAATGAGCAGCTTGCCTCATCTGCCCCAGCCCCTCATACAGCTTCGACAGCTTGTGCAGTGCCAGGCCCTCGCTCTCGTTGCTGGCGACGGCACGGCGGTAGCAGCGGATGGCGGCTTCTGGCTGCTGCAGCTGCTGTGCCTCGTAGCACTGCCCCATGGCACACCACATGCGTGAGTCGTGGGGGCGCAGGGAGGCTGCTTTACTGTTGGGGATAAGATCATAAGACAAGGGACAGGTGGGAAAAACATGGACAGGAGGAGAGAGAGTGGATGATGGTAGCAGCGGATGGCTGCTTCTGGCTGCTGCAGCTGCTGGGCCTCGTAGCACTGCCCCATGGCACACCACATGCGCGAGTCATGCGGGCGGAGAGAGGCCGCCTTCCTGTGGTTGGAGAGAAACACGCATAAAGGAAGGGAGAGTGGGGGTAGCAGTGGATGACGGCTGATGGCTGCTGCAGCTGCTGGGCCTCGTAGCAGCACTGCCCCATGGCACACCACTTGCGCAAGTCGTGGGGTCGTAGAGAGGCCGCCTTCCTGTTAGGCATACAAAGACAGGAAGGAAGGAGAGAGTTAGAGTGGGCGGTAGCAGTGGATGACGGCTGCTGGCTGCTGCAGCTGCTGCGCCTCGTAGTAGCACTGCCCCATGGCACACCACATGCGCGAGTCATGCTGGCGCAAAGAATCGCATACGTCTGCCCGAGCATACACGAAAACCCCAAACCCTAAATCAGAGACTCACCAGTAGTAGTAGAGGGCGTAGTAGGGCATCGCAAGAATCTCATACGTCTGCCCGAGCCCGTACCACGTGCGATAATCCCTCGGATTAAAATCGACCGCCCTCCTGTAAGCCTGGATCGCCCCGGCACTGTTCTTCATCTCCACATACTCGTGCCCCATCAGCGTCCACGCTGACAGGTAGCAGCATTTGAACCTTCCCCTGATGCCAAAACCCGAAACCTTAACCCCTAAACCTTCAACTTAAGCCCCGAATAGAGGGCACTCACCAGTAGTTATAGAGGGCGTAGTAGTACGGCATGGCGAAACCCTCAACCTCACACCTGAAACCCCAAACCCCAAAGCAAACACTGTCACTCACCGGTAGTAGTAGAGGGCGTAGTAGGGCATGGCGAGAATCTCATACGTCTGCCCGAGCCCGTACCACGCCCTATAATCCCTCGGGTTGATATCCACCGCCCGCCTGTACGCTTGAATCGCCCCGGCACTGTTCTTCATCTCCACATACTCGTGCCCCATCAGCGTCCACGCTGACAGGTAGCAGCGGTCGAGGCGGAGGGCTCGGCGGAAGTAGGCCACGGCTCGCTCGTGGCGGCCCTTTAGGGAGAAATAGTTTCCGACGATGCAGCACGTCTCTGGCCGGTACTTGTCAATTTTTGTCACCTGACATGGGGGGAAAGAGGAGGGAGGGTGTGAAAGCCATGGGGAAGAGGGAAGGAGGGCACACCACGAAACCCACAAGGCAGAGGACCCATAGACCCATGCGGCAAGAGGCAGCGTCCATGCGGAGAGGTAGCAGCGGTCGAGGCGGAGGGCTCGGCGGAAGTAGGCTACGGCTCGCTCGTGGCGGCCCTTTAGGGAGAAATAGTTTCCGACGATGCAGCACGTCTCCGGGCGGTATTTATCGATTTTAGTGACCTGAGGGAAGGTGGAGGCAGTGCGCGAAAGCCATGGGGAAGGAATAAGGTACACATGTAAGAAAACCCTGATGGCAAGAGGCAGCGTCCACGCGGAGAGGTAGCAGCGGTCGAGGCGGAGGGCTCGGTGGAATGGAAGTAGGCCACTGCATGCTCGTGGCGGCCCTTGAGGGAGAAGTAGTTTCCAACGATGCAACACGTCTCTGGCCGGTACTTGTCGATTTTAGTGACCTGGAGTGGCAAAAACAAGGGAGACGTGGAGAGGAAACGACCACAGCAATGCTTTTAGGAAGAGTTGAGGCGCCTCAAAAGGATCTATGCTTATAATGGAAGAGCAGCAATTCTAAGAGTTGCAAAAGACGTGGAGAGGAAAAGACCACAGCAATGCTTTTAGGGAGAGTTGGTTTCCTTCCCACTATGCGGCCTGTTTTAGGGCGGTACTTGTCGACCCTTAATGGGGTTGACCAGTCAACACCGGTCAACTCTGGTCAACTCACATGTGCTGTGAGGAAAACCCCCCCTTCACCCATGTGCAGGTCAACTCAAGTCAACGCCAGTCAACTTACCCGGTGCGCCAGGTGGGAGAGCCCAGCAAAGTCCTCCTTCACGTAGAGAATATTTGAAAACGTGTCCATGGCCTCTAGTCTGTACGGGTCAACGCCAGTCAACTCTGCGAACACAGCCTCTGCCGAGTCAAAGTCCCTCAGGTTGTAGTGCGCCGTTGCTGTTGCTGCTGCCACCCACGTGCTCTGTGGAAAGCCCCCTCCTTTCCCCGCCGCTTTGCCAGTTCCTCCTGTTGTTGTCTCTCCTGCTCCCCCTGCTGCTGCTGCTGCTGCTGCTGCTGCAGTTCCCCCTCCTTCCCCATCCGCCATTCGCCTCCTTTCCCCCTGCTCCCCCTCTGCTTGCTGCGATGAGTGAGAGAGGGAGTGAGAGAAGGAGGAGGAGGCGGAGGAGGAGGAGGAAGGGGGGGAGGCGAGGTGCAGGCAGAGGGAGAGGGCTTCGGAGTTGCGGTGGAGGGAGAGGAGGAGGGAGGAGAGGGCGAATAGAGTCATCCAGTGGGCAGGGAGGGAAGGGAGGAGCGAGAGGTAGGTGTCGTGGTCGAGACAGAGGGCCTGGAGGGGAGGGGAGAGTGGGTGAGAAGGGGAAGAGAGGGAAGGGGTTGGGGGGAGAATAGTGGAGGAGAGAGGAGAGGGCGAAAAGAGTCATCCAGTGAAGGGAAGGGAGGGGAGGAGCGAGAGGTAGGTGTCATGGTCGAGACAGAGGCCGCAGCCTCGTAATGTCTCCCACCACTAAGTGGTGTTCCTTGAGTGAGAGGTAGGTGTCATGGTCGAGACAGAGAGCCTGAAAGGGAGACATGTAGGGGGGACGAGAGGGGAGGAACACAGGAGGGAGGAGAGGGCGAATAGAGTCATCCAGTGGGCAGGGAGGGAGGGGAGGAGCGAGAGGTAGGTGTGGTGGTCGAGACAGAGGGCCTGGAAATGGGTGTGTGGGTGGGAAGGGGAGGGGAGGGAAGGAGTTGGGGGGGAGAATATCGGAGGAGGAAGGAAAGGGCGAAGAGGGTCATCCAATGGCAAGGGAGGGAGGGGAGGAGGGATAGGTAGGTGTCATGGTCGAGACAGAGGGCCTGGAGGGGGGTGTGTGTGGGAGAGGGCGAAAGAAGGTTGGTGGAGGGGCAGCTGAGTTGACAGCGAAAAGGGGATTCAAGAGTGAGAAGAAAAGGGAGGCAAGGTGCAGGCAGAAGACTTTTGCGGCGCCTCACGAGGCGAGGTGCAGACAGAGGGAGAGGGCTTCGGAGTTGCGGTGGAGGGAGAGGAGGAGAGAGGAGACAAAGAGAGTCATCCAGTGGCAAGGGAGGGATGGGAGGAGGGAGAGATAGGTGTCTTGGTCGAGACAGAGGGCCTGGAGCGGAAAGTGGGGCAGGAGCGGGGAGAGGGAAGGGTGGGGGGTGGGGGAGAAACATCGGATCGGAGGAGGGGAGGGCGAAGAGACCCATCCAGTGGGAAGGAGAGCGTGGGATGGAGAGTAGAAGAGTCTACCTCAAAATCTTTCTCAGGACCTACCTCAAAACTTCACCTCTATCACATGGTTAAGTCCCAAGGGACCTCCTTCACACTCTCACACACTCCTTCACACTCACACTCCTTCACACTCTCACACACTCCCTCACACTCTTCCCCACATACACTCAATCCCAGGGATACTAATCTCTCACCTCTATCTGCTGCCATGCAGCCAGATTCCAAGGGTACTCCCGCACACTCCCTGACACTCTCACACACCAACCCCCCTCCCCTCCATCTCATACCCTTCCACACTCTCACTTCCAGAAATACTCTTCGCTCACCTCTATCTGCTGCCATGCAGCCCAGTTCCAAGGGTACTCCCTCACACTCTCGCACAGCAACCCCCTCCCCCTCTTCCTCACTCTCCTTCACTGCACGTGATTGTGTGCGTTTGTCAGCGTGCCTGCCACCCTCTCTCTCCTCATCTGCTGCCATGCAGCCCAGTTCCATTCCAAGGGCACTCCCGCACACTCTCACACAGCAACCCCCGCGCCTCCCCCTCTCTCCCCCTCTGCGCCAACACTACCCCCACCAGATACCTCCCCCACGCATCCAGCCTGCCTTGTGATTGGCCACAAAGTCCCTCCCAGGGATACTACTCGCTCACCTCTATCTGCTGCCATGCAGCCCAAATCCAAGGAAACTCCCTCAAACTCTCCCACGCACTCTCCCACGCACTCTCCCACGCACTCTCCCACGCACTCTCCCACGCACTCTCCCACGCACCCTCCCTCACACTCACTTCAAGGGTATACCCTCACCTCTATTTGCTGCCACGCAGCCCAGTTCCAAGGGTATTCCCGCACACTCTCACACAGAACCACCCGCGCCTCCCCCTCTCTCCCCCTCTGCGACAACACCACTCCCAGCAGATACCTCCCCCACGCATCCAGCCTTCCTGCCGCCCGCTCCCGCTCCAGCTCAGCCTGGACACGTGGCAGCTCAGTATTGGCCACAGGAGACGCGGGATTGTCTGGGGAGGAGGAGGTGGGGTGGGCAGGGAAGGGTATGGGCTGCTGCTGCTGGTTGGTTCCCGGGAGAGTTTGCTGCTGGGATGAGGTTTCTAGAATGATTTCTTCCTTGCGTTTCTCCCCTGCCTGAAAAGGGGGGGGTGAGGGGAGGGGGGGGGGAATGATGAGGGAAGGAGGGAAATGATGGAAGAACAGGGAACGGGCGGGTACTGCTGCTGCTGGTTGGTTTTTGAGGCGCCTCACAAGACTTTTGAGGCGCCTCAAAAGAAGAGCAGGGTACGGGCGGGTACTGCTGCTGCTGGTTGGTTTTTGAGGCGCCTCACAAGACTTTTGAGGCGCCTTGTCGGAGTTCTTCCCTTCTCCTTCCTCACTCCTCCCTTGCCCCTGCCTCTTCCCTGCCTTCTGTCCTCACCTTCTTCCCTTCCTTCTTATTCTGGCCTTTCCCCACCTTGTGCTGTCCCCACTCCTGTTACCCTGTTCCCTTCTGCGTTCTCAGCCACTACCATGAGAAGTTTACTCTCCCACAAGATGGCTGCCCACAGTGGCTTAGTCACCTAGCTAGCGTAGCCTTGTTGCGGTAACGTTATCCACTATATGAGGCAAACAAGACGAGAGAACAGGTTTGCTATGCTAGGCTAGGCTATTTGTGCTTGGCTGCCCAGTCGCGAGTAACTCAGCGTGCTGGGTTGAGCTCGAGCCGCCTAGGCCTTGGAGTGGCCCTCGCCAGATTGCCTGTCTCCCGAGGTTCCTGAAATTGTCCCCGACGCGCCCTGTAACCCCCGATGCTACCCAACTTCTCGCTACTCTCTATAACCCAACTACCCCACATGCAGATTGAATAACACTCGCTACACCACTTCTACACCTAATTAGCACATGTCTCCAATATGATGCTCTTACCATTATATTTGGTGACAGCTGTCGGAGTTCTTCCCTTCTCCTTCCTCACTCCTCCCTTGCCCCTGCCTCTTCCCTGCCTTCTGTCCTCACCTTCTTCCCTTCCTTCTTATTCTGGCCTTTCCCCACCTTGTGCTGTCCCCACTCCTGTTACCCTGTTCCCTTCTGCGTTCTCAGCCACTACCTGCCCCCTCCTGTGCTCGTGCTCGAGCTGCTCGGGCGCGAGTCACATGACTCTCAGCTGAGGACGGCTGCTCTTCAGTCCTGCCGTGCGGGTCTGGTGGTCCCCGGTCTGTTCTCCCTTCTTCTTCTCCAACACTAGCACTCCCACGCCTCGCACTGCTCGCGCCCTCCCCTTCACTCTTCCCTATTCCACAGCTAGTGTATCCTTCTTTGCCCCTCTCTTCCCGTCCCACCTCTCTAGCCGCCCTTATCCCCTTGCCTTCCTGCTGCTGCCACTGCTCACGGCTGCACGCATCCCTCAACTGCACGGTATGTAGGTCCTCCACCGATACCGGTATCACCTCCTCCAAGTGTTCCGCTGCCTTAGCTTGCTCCCATGCCGCCCGGTTCTCCGCTTCTTCCATTGCATGGTCTGCCTTTTCCCCTGTTGCTAGGGGCTCCCCTGCCCCCACTTCCTCACTCTCCTGCTCTGCTCCCCCCAGCAGCTCTGGCCTTCCTTCCCGCAGCTTACTCACATGCTGCTCCGCCAGCTTGTTTCCCTGCGCTTGCTCCTCTGCTTGCATCCGATCCTTCATTGTCACGCCAGTCTTTGCCCCTGCCCTGATTTCCCCGAACAACTCCGCTGTCCTTAGCGCTGGCTGCCAACCACTCCCTCCCATGTCTGTACTGCTCAGCTCCTTCTTCCCTCCTTTCTTCACCGCTCCCCCCTTCTCGCCCTTCCCTTCCGCATCTGCTGTCGCTGGTACACACGGCCTTGCCCCCACCTCTACGTCCCTCTCTTCTACTTCTCCTGCTGCAATTTCGCTCACTCCTGCCCCCACCTGCTCGTCCTTCTCTTCTGCTTCCGCGGCTGCTGGTACGCACGCCCAGGTCCCCTCCCTCGCATTCTTCCCTTCCCCTTCTGTGGCTGCCCATTCCTTCACCTTTTCATTCATCCCTTCAGTGCCTGCTGCTACTAATTCGCACACTCCCGCCTCCTCCTTCTCGTCCTTCTCTTCCCCTTCTGCCAATGCCCATTCCCTCACCTGCTCATTCTTCCCTTCAGTGTCTGCTGCTACAAATTCACACCCTCCCGCCTTCTCCTTCTCGTCCTTCTCTTCCCCTTCTGCCACTGCCCATTCCCTCACCTTCTCATCCTTCTCCTCCTCTCCTGCCACTGCCCATGCCCTCACCTTCGTTGCTTGCTCCCTTCCTCCGTCCCTGCCCCCACTGCGCAGCCCCATGACTGCACTGCTACGAAGCACTGCACCGGCATATTCTGGCTCCTGCTCCTTTTCCTCTTCCTCCTCTTCCTTCCTTACATACAACCCCACCTGCCCCTCTGTTCTTTCTCTGAGCGCCCGCCCTTTCCTTCCGTCTCTGCCCCCACTGCGCAGACCCAGTTCCTCATGGCTACGTAACGCCAGGCATGTGTACTCTGGCTCCTGCCCCTCCTCCTCTTCTGCTCCTTCTTCCCTCACGTACAACCCAGCCTCCTTCTCCTTACTTCCTCCCAGGGCCTGCAACTCCGCCCGCAATTTCCTTATCTGGCTCTCAATCTCCTCTGTTGACCCTTTCCTTCCGCCTGTCCCTTTATCGCAGTCCCTTGCCTCATGCCCCCTTTCCCCACACTCTTTACATGTCGGTGCCTCCGGACAGTCCCTTCGGCGGTGCCCTGGCTTCCCACATACATCGCAGTTCCTGCAGTGCATCCTTATGTGCCCCGGCTGCCCACAGCGGTAACAAGTGCGTGTCTCTGTCCTTTTCTCCAGCCTGCTCTCTTCTCCTGTTCCCTCCCCTGGTATCATCGCCGCTGCCCAGGTAGGACTCTTCTTCTCTATCGTCCTTGGCAGGTATACCTCGTACTTCCTCTGCGCGAGCTCCACCCGCTCCGCTAACTCGAACACCTCTTCTGGTGTTGCATCTGCTCCTAGCTCATAGACTCTCATTCTCAACCCTCCTGCCAATCCCTTGTCTAAACTGTTCAGAAACTTGCTAATGATCATGCTGCTGTCCGTGCACACCACATCTTCCGCCAGGTTCGTTAACCGTCCGTAGTATGTCAGCAGTGACTCCTCATCCCTTCGCCTAAACTCCTGAAATTCCCGAATGCGCACCGCCGTATGCCCAGGGAACTGCTTTCTTAGGCGCTCCAGGAACAGTACCGTTGGGTCCTCGTCATCCTCTTCTGCCCTCCTCAGCCATTCACCAATCTTCATGCGATACAGAGTCTCTGCTTCCCCTCCCAACGTGCTTGGCAGGCTCAGGAAGAACTCGATCGGGTCCATCCCGCTTCTGTCGCATCGGTATTTAACACTGCTGATCTGCATCAAGTAATTTTTCAGACTTGGGCCGGTTTTCTCCTTTCCCGTGAAGCGTACTGGCACCTCCACTCGCGGCTGTGCTGTTGCGCCCCACTTCCCTGTTTCCCAGCTCTCCGTCCCTCCTCGCTCAGACACCATAACCCCTCTCCTCCTCTCCTGTTCTCCCCTGCTGCGTGTGCTGGTTCCGTAAAGCACTCGCTCTAATCCTTCCCTAGCCGCTCTTGCTCCCGCAGATCCTTCGCCGTGACGCCCCGGCCTCCTCGGGCCCATCGGGCTAGTGCTCCTCCCTCGCGCATCTTCACGCTCCTCCCAGCGCCTCTCTGCATCTTCCCAACGCTTCTCTCCCCTTGCAGGGGACCGCTCCTGGTACCGTCGCCCTCTGTCCTCTCGCTGTCGCTCCTTCTCTGCTGCCCTCGAGACTTCTGGTGTCCGCACACCTTCTCTCTTGCCTCGCCAGTCCTCCTCGCGCCTCCACTCCCTTCCTCTTTCCGGTGAGTCCCACCTGTCTCTTTCCTCATAATCTCCACACTCTTCCCAGCCTCGGCGTTCCTGGTCCCGTTTCCCCCTTTCCCTTTTTCTTCCTGCCTCTTCACCCCCTTGGTATCGCTCTCCTTCGCCCCTCCTCTCACGGCTCTCTCTCTCGGGCCACCTTCTTGCTTCTTTGCTTGTTTCCTTTGCAGCCCTTCTCTCTGCCCACAGGTGTTCTTCTACTTTCTCACGGCGCGCTCCCGCCTGTTCCCTTGAGGCGCTGGGTGGCGATCGTATGCTACCCCTGCCTTGCGCCTTCTCCGCTGGCCGCCGCCTCCTTGCTGGCGAGTGCTGAACGCGCTTTCCTTCGTAATCCTCGTCCTCCTCCTCTTCTGACCATTCCAGCGATCTCCCTTCTCCCATCGCCATACGCCTCCTGCCCGCACGGCCTTGTCCTGGCTCGGGCGAACGATACACTCCTGCTGGTGCAGCACGCCTCTTCTCCTCCTCCCCTCGCTCCCTTGACCAGGGCTCAGCTGCTTTGCTCCTGCTGCGCATCGCTTCACTCCCGCGCACCTCCTCTGGCGCGCGTTCTGCCTCCGCGCGATTCCCCTCGCGCCTCGCTTCCTTCCCGCACACCTCCTCTGGCGCGCGATCTGCATCCGCGCGATTCCCCTGGCGCCTCGCTTGACTCCCGCGCACCTCCTCTGGCGCGCGATCTGCATCCGCGCGATTCCCCTGGCGCCTCGCTTGACTCCCGCGCACCTCCTCTGGCGCGCGATCTGCATCCGCGCGATTCCCCTGGCGCCTCGCTTGACTCCCGCGCACCTCCTCTGGCGCGCGATCTGCATCCGCGCGATTCCCCTGGCGCCTCGCTTGACTCCCGCGCACCTCCTCTGGCGCGCGATCTGCATCCGCGCGATTCCCCTGGCGCCTCGCTTGACTCCCGCGCACCTCCTCTGGCGCGCGATCTGCCTCCGCGCGATTCCCCTGGCATTTCGCGCCGCCCCCACCCATTCCGTTGGTCGCGCCATCTGCCTCTGCGCTCCCGCGTCGCCTTGCGCCACTCCCACACACTTCGTCTGTCGAGGATTTAATCCCGTCGCCTCTCCGCGTTCTTCACGTTTTTCTCCACGACGCCTCTCGCCTGCCTTGCGCATGTCGCCCGGTGAGTGATCTTCTTCCTCGTCCATGGGATCACCCTCCGCCAACTCCTCGCCGTCGGCCTCCTTCGCCAACATCAGCGAGTCCGTCTCATCGGCATCCTCCTGACGCCTTACTCCCGCGCCCCGCTGGCCTCTTGCCAGATCCCAGGGATCGCTCCTCGACGGCTGGGGTCCTGGCGCCGATCTCATCTGCAGACCGAGCTCGCCTTCACCGTGCAGTCCGTCACTGGTCGCCTTCCAATCCGCCCGATCCGCCTCTCTGCTAGGCGAGCGACCTGGCGAACTTCCCCGCTCCTTTGAGCGCATCCTTCGCGACGGCGGTATCTCCCGCTGCGAGTACGTCCGCTGCCACCGCAGCTCATGGCAGTCCATACTGCCTATCTGTTTCTCTCGTCTTGTGAGAAGTTTACTCTCCCACAAGATGGCTGCCCACAGTGGCTTAGTCACCTAGCTAGCGTAGCCTTGTTGCGGTAACGTTATCCACTATATGAGGCAAACAAGACGAGAGAACAGGTTTGCTATGCTAGGCTAGGCTATTTGTGCTTGGCTGCCCAGTCGCGAGTAACTCAGCGTGCTGGGTTGAGCTCGAGCCGCCTAGGCCTTGGAGTGGCCCTCGCCAGATTGCCTGTCTCCCGAGGTTCCTGAAATTGTCCCCGACGCGCCCTGTAACCCCCGATGCTACCCAACTTCTCGCTACTCTCTATAACCCAACTACCCCACATGCAGATTGAATAACACTCGCTACACCACTTCTACACCTAATTAGCACATGTCTCCAATATGATGCTCTTACCATTATATTTGGTGACAGCCTCAAAAGAAGAGCAGGGTACGGGCGGGTACTGCTGCTGCTGGTTGGTTTTTGAGGCGCCTCAAAAGACTTTTGAGGCGCCTCAAAAGAAGAGCAGGGTACGGGCGGGTACTGCTGCTGCTGGTTGGTTTTTGAGGCGCCTCAAAAGAAGAGCAGGGTACGGGCGGGTACTGCTGCTGCTGGTTGGTTTTTGAGGCGCCTCAAAAGACTTTTGAGGCGCCTCAAAAGAAGAGCAGGGTACGGGCGGGTACTGCTGCTGCTGGTTGGTTTTTGAGGCGCCTCAAAAGACTTTTGAGGCGCCTCAAAAGAAGAGCAGGGTACGGGCGGGTACTGCTGCTGCTGGTTGGTTTTTGAGGCGCCTCACAAGACTTTTGAGGCGCCTCAAAAGAAGAGCAGGGTACGGCCGGGTACTGCTGCTGCTGGTTGGTTTTTGAGGCGCCTCACAAGACTTTTGAGGCGCCTCAAAAGAAGAGCAGGGTACGGGCGGGTACTGCTGCTGCTGGTTGGTTTTTGAGGCGCCTCAAAAGACTTTTGAGGCGCCTCAAAAGAAGAGCAGGGTACGGGCGGGTACTGCTGCTGCTGGTTGGTTTTTGAGGCGCCTCAAAAGACTTTTGAGGCGCCTCAAAAGAAGAGCAGGGTACGGGCGGGTACTGCTGCTGCTGGTTGGTTTTTGAGGCGCCTCACAAGACTTTTGAGGCGCCTCAAAAGAAGAGCAGGGTACGGGCGGGTACTGCTGCTGCTGGTTGGTTTTTGAGGCGCCTCACAAGACTTTTGAGGCGCCTCAAAAGAAGAGCAGGGTACGGGCGGGTACTGCTGCTGCTGGTTGGTTTTTGAGGCGCCTCAAAAGACTTTTGAGGCGCCTCAAAAGAAGAGCAGGGTACGGGCGGGTACTGCTGCTGCTGGTTGGTTTTTGAGGCGCCTCACAAGACTTTTGAGGCGCCTCAAAAGAAGAGCAGGGTACGGGCGGGTACTGCTGCTGCTGGTTGGTTTTTGAGGCGCCTCACAAGACTTTTGAGGCGCCTCAAAAGAAGAGCAGGGTACGGGCGGGTACTGCTGCTGCTGGTTGGTTTTTGAGGCGCCTCAAAAGACTTTTGAGGCGCCTCAAAAGAAGAGCAGGGTACGGGCGGGTACTGCTGCTGCTGGTTGGTTTTTGAGGCGCCTCAAAAGACTTTTGAGGCGCCTCAAAAGAAGAGCAGGGTACGGGCGGGTACTGCTGCTGCTGGTTGGTTTTTGAGGCGCCTCACAAGACTTTTGAGGCGCCTCAAAAGAAGAGCAGGGTACGGGCGGGTACTGCTGCTGCTGGTTGGTTTTTGAGGCGCCTCACAAGACTTTTGAGGCGCCTCAAAAGAAGAGCAGGGTACGGGCGGGTACTGCTGCTGCTGGTTGGTTTTTGAGGCGCCTCACAAGACTTTTGAGGCGCCTCAAAAGAAGAGCAGGGTACGGGCGGGTACTGCTGCTGCTGGTTGGTTTTTGAGGCGCCTCACAAGACTTTTGAGGCGCCTCAAAAGAAGAGCAGGGTACGGGCGGGTACTGCTGCTGCTGGTTGGTTTTTGAGGCGCCTCACAAGACTTTTGAGGCGCCTCAAAAGAAGAGCAGGGTACGGGCGGGTACTGCTGCTGCTGGTTGGTTTTTGAGGCGCCTCACAAGACTTTTGAGGCGCCTCAAAAGAAGAGCAGGGTACGGGCGGGTACTGCTGCTGCTGGTTGGTTCCCGGGAGGGTCTGCTGCTGGGATGAGGTTTCTAGAATGATTTCTTCCTTGCGTTTCTCGCCTGCCTGTAGGGATAAGGGGGAATGGAACACAGTGAGAATGGAGGAGGGGGATGGGTGGGTGGGTGGGTGTTGCTGCTGCTGGTTGGTTCCCGGGAGGGTCTGCTGCTGAGATGAAGTCTCTAGGATGATTTCTTCTTTGCGCTTCTCCCCTGCCTGCAGGGGTGGGTTTGATAGGGGAGGGAGGGGAGTGATGGGTGGGCAGGGAAGGGTATGTGCTGCTGCTGCTGGTTGGTTTACGGGAGGGTCTGCTGCTGGTTGGTTTAAGGGAGGGTCTGCTGCTGGTTGGTTTACGGCTTTAGAATGATCTCTTCCTTGCGCTTCTCCCCTGCCTGTAGCTGTGAGTGAGGAACAGCTGTAACGAAGAGGGATTGGTGGGTGAGTGGATTGGTGGGTGAGTGGATTGGTGGGTGAGTGGATTGGTGGGTGAGTGGATTGGTGGGTGAGTGGATTGGTGGGTGAGTGGATTGGTGGGTGAGTGGATGTTAGTGGTGGTGGTAGTTAGCCGATTATTGAGTCGACTAGAATATTGTTAGTGGTGGTGGTTAAGTGAGTATGTGCTGCTTGTGGTGCTCCCTCTCTCACTCACAAGGTAGAGCGCATAGCAGCGCAGGAACAGGGCTCGCCTCCCTTGAACCCCCTCCAGCACGTTTGCCGCCCTCCTGAACTCCCTCACATCAAACAGCGCCCGCGCAAACAACACCTCGTCTTGTGGCACCTCAATCATCGTATCACTCACCAGGTAGAGTGCATAGCAGCGCAGGAACAAAGCCCTCCTCCCCCCCACCCCTTCGAGCACATGTGCTGCCCTCCTGAACTCCCATGTCAAACAATGCCCGCGCAAAAAGCACCTACTTATTTCACTCACAAGGTAGAGCGCATAGCAGCGCAGGAACAGCGCCCTCCTCCCTTGAACCCCCTCCAGCACGTGTGCCGCCCTCCTGAACTCCCTCACATCAAACAGCGCCCGCGCAAACAGCACCTCGTCCGAATCCTCCTCCTCCCCCTCCACAGCCTCCGTCCCTTTCACTTCACCTATCGCCGCCGCTCCTCCTTCAGCCCCGTGCGCCGTCCCTTTTGATCCTGCTGCCTCTCCTGTCGTGTGTGCCTCTGCCTTGGCAGCCCCTGCCTGCCCGTCCCTTGCTCCTCGCTCCTCTCTGCTGTCCCCTGCTGCAGATTCTGACTGGGAGGGCATGGCGGGTAGGCCAATTAGCTGCTCTGCAGCCCTGGAATGAGGAGGAGGAGAGAGGGAGTGAGAGGAATGTTAAAGTCTCTGCCCTGCCTGTCCCTTGCTCCTCGCTCCTCTCTCCTGTCCCCTGCTGTAGCTTCTGACTGAGAGTTCATGGCAGGTAGGCCGATTAGCTGCTCTGCAGCCCTGTGGAATCAGGAGGGGGAGAGGAGAGGGAAGTGATCAATAGAAGTGGTGGATAAGCAATGAGAGAATGATCGGCATTAGGTCTGGAACAGTGGGGAGGCGGCATGACCGGCAGGCCGTTCAGCTGCTCTGCAGCCCTGTGGAACCAGGAGGGGTTGAGGAGAGGGACGGGACGTCTCAGATTTTCTGATTGAGAAGGCATGGCGTTGCTCTGCGGGGCTAGAATCAGGAGGCGGAGAGACGATGGATAAACAGAGGGCGGGAGATTGGCAATGGGTCCAGCGCACTGGGGAGACGGCATGCCGGGGTGACTTTTGAGTCGATTTAAAAGTCACGATGGATAAACATTGGGCGGGAGATTGGCAATGGGTCCAGCGCACTGGGGAGACGGCATGCCGGGCAGGCTGATCGGCTGCTCTGCGGCCCTGTGGAATCAGAAAGGGGGGGAAAGAGGGGATGGCGGACAATAAATAGGAGAGGTGGAAAAGCAATGAGAGAACGGTCGGCATTGAGTGTGGTGTGGCACAAATGGAGACGGTAATAAACATTGGAAGCACTACTAGGAACCTTGGGCGAATGGAGGTTTTTGAGAATTCTCAAAAACTCCCTACAATGAGAGAACGGTCGGCATTGGGTGTGGCGTGGCACAAATGGAGACGGTACTATTTGGTGTGGCATGGTAATAAACATTGGAAGCACTACTAGGAACCTTGGGCGAATGGAAGCAGTGGAGAAGCGACAGCTTTGAATGACTTACCACGCGGACGCCTGGAGCAGGAATCGGTCGTGCAGCTCCCGCACGGCGGCTCGCAGCTAGACGCGCTTCAGCGGGCCCTTGACTTGACTTGACTCAACCTGACTCGACTTACCACGCGGACACCTGGAACAGGCATCGGTCGCGCAGTTCCCGCACGGCAGCTCGCAGCTCGGCGCGCTTCGGCAAGCCCTTGACTTGATTTCAGTTGACTTACCTTGACTTGACTTGATTGACTCACCATGAGGACGCCTGGAACAGGCATCGGTCGCGCAGTTCCCGCACGGCGGCTCGCAGCTCGGCGCGCTTCACGGCTGGGCTCGCCGCCGCTGCCGCTGCTAGCGCTGCTGCCACGGGATCGGCCGGAACGTGCCTGACGGCATCCGGCGTCGCTGGCACTGCCATGTCGGTCGAAATTCGTGAACGATCGTGTGATGGAACTAATGAAAACCCAATAAGACGAGATGCGAACTGTTGAGACGGCCCAGAATAGGAGATTTTCAAAGTGATAGTAAATCTAACCGAAGTAAAAATTCATGAGCAGAGCCGCAGACACGCCTGAGCGGACAGCACTCGCTTATTGTACGTTTGGCGTGGTCTCTAATACATTCTGTTACTTCCTACTATTCCCTAACAGCTGGCATTCCTCCAGGAATCTGACCTGGTTTCTGATCCCTGGTGTCCTACCCTATAGAACTTGGCTCTCACTCTCCGCGATTCGAGAGCTCTCGAGATTTATCAGGACGGGATTCACAGATGATAGCGCGCACTTCTCAACAACAAACGAACCAATCTTGAGACGAAGTGACGGCCGGACGTGGAGCCGAACCGATTCAAATAGGCACCTCGTCAAATTCTGAACCTGAAGCTCATGTTACCATTACTTTTCTCGCGTAATGTTTTCGCTGGAACTCTGTGCGATCTGGATCAGGCATTTTTGGGCAAACGAAGTTACACGAGATGCTTAAATAATGAAACGCAATCAGCAACGTAACTAGCTTCGTCAATCTCCGCGATGTCTCGTGGAAACTGATGATTCTATGGTAACCTGCCAGCCCTTGGGAAGATCGATCGCTACGCATTATTCAAACGATCAGGCCCTTGCTCCTGGAAAAAAATGCTCACATCGTAAGGCACCTAGCAGTCAACTCTGTTAGCTGTCTAGCAGGTGTGTTGTGTAGAACCCTTCTGCTGCTGCTGGTCCAGTTATAACATAATCCGTCACGTGCAATACCGGGAGTCTAAGCGGTCATTTCGTTCTGTGAAGGATTTTGGATTTGAGGCTCCTGAGTTGCACGGTCATTTCTTACGCCACCCTGATTTCGCCCTACGCATCCCGCGTTTCGCTTCGCGAAGAACTTGCTCGTTCGCCATTCGCTCAGCTTGACAAACGTAGCTTTCGCGCTTCGCGCTCCTTGCTTAACGTCGCCACTCCGTGCCTTTTGAGGTGACTCTTGAGTCCACCCAACGGTCACTTTCGGAGCTACCCATTCCGCGCGTTCCAATCCCTCCCACGAAATCAAAGTAGAAAATCCAGCCTCGTATTCGCTATATCGGGGATGGCGAAGCGCAAGGAGGATCCGTTACAAGCAGAGGACGCGCACGACAAGCTGGAGCTGATGCCGCTGGGCGCGGGCAACGAAGTGGGGCGGTCGTGCGTGTTCATGTCGTACAAGGGCAAGAACGTGCTGGTGAGGGCTATCACGTGCTGGTGAGGGCTAGCACGTGCTGGTGAGGGCAAGCACGTGCTGGTGAGGGCTATCACGTGCTGGTGAGGGCTATCACGTGCTGGTGAGGGCTATCACGTGCTGGTGAGGGCTATCACGTGCTGGTGAGGGCTATCACGTGCTGGTTTTGGCTCTTCAGTTCGACTGTGGCATTCACCCTGCATGCTCTACTCAGGCATCGCTGGGCTGCCCTTCTTTGGTCACCTGCCTTCTTTCCATCCCCTTCCCCCCCACTCAATCCCCTTCCACCGCATCCAATCCCCTTCCACCGCACCCAACCCTCTTCGCACTGCCAGTTCGACTGTGGCATTCACCCCGCCTACTCGGGCATCGCCGGGCTGCCCTTCTTTGACGAGATCGACCCCTCCTGTATTGACGTGCTGCTCGTCACGCAGTGAGTGCTGTTGACTGCCGTTGACTTGAGTTGACTCGAGTTGACTTGTTGACCTGGGTGTGCTTCTGGGCTGCCCTTCTTTGATGAGATCGACCCCTCCTGTATCGACGTGCTGCTGGTGACACAGTGAGTGCTGCTGACTGCCGTTGACTTGAGTTGACTCATGTTGACTCACTGAGTGCTGCTGGGCTGCCCTTCTTTGATGAGATCAACCCCTCCTGTGTGGACGTGCTGCTGGTGACTCAGTGAGTGTTGAATCCTTTCTGCTGCGTTGACATGAGTTGACTCGTGTTGACTCACTGAGTGCTGCTGGGCTGCCCTTCTTTGACGAGACCAACCCCTCCTGTGTTGACGTGCTGCTGGTTACGCGGTGAGTGCGGTCTTCTTGCTGTGTTTACCCTCGTTGAGTTAACTTGCAGTGAGTGCTGCTTCCTTTCTGCTGCGTTTACTTGAGGTTGCCTAACTTCGTTATGGGCGCCTCATAACGTCTTCTCCCGTTCTCTCCCGTTCCCTCCCCTCCCCTCCCCTCCCCTCCCCTCCCCTCCCCTCCCCTCCCCTCCGCCATCAGCTTTCATCTCGACCATGCCGCGTCACTGCCTTACTTTCTCTCTAAGGTACAACCCGCTATCTGCTTGCACGGTGTGCTGTGAGTGTGAGATGTCTCCATCTATGGATGGTCACTGCAAGCTATATTTGAGGCGCCTAAAAATTAACCTGCTTGCACGGTGTGCTATGCTTGTGGGGGGGGGTGGTGTACTGGGCATGTGAGATGTCTATGGATGGTTACTGCAAGCGTGTGGAAGTCTTTTGAGGCGCCTCAAAAGGTGTACTGGGCATGTGAGATGTCTATGGATGGTTACTGCAAGCGTGTGGAAGTCTTTTGAGGCGCCTCAAAAGGTGTACTGGGCATGTGAGATGTCTATGGATGGTTACTGCAAGCGTGTGGAAGTCTTTTGAGGCGCCTCAAAAGGTGTACTGGGCATGTGAGATGTCGATGGATGGTTACTGCAAGCGTGTGGAAGTCTTTTGAGGCGCCTCAAAAGGTGTACTGGGCATGTGAGATGTCTATGGATGGTTACTGCAAGCGTGTGGAAGTCTTTTGAGGCGCCTCAAAAGGTGTACTGGGCATGTGAGATGTCTATGGATGGTTACTGCAAGCGTGTGGAAGTCTTTTGAGGCGCCTCAAAAGGTGTACTGGGCATGTGAGATGTCTATGGATGGTTACTGCAAGCGTGTGGAAGTCTTTTGAGGCGCCTCAAAAGGTGTACTGGGCATGTGAGATGTCTATGGATGGTTACTGCAAGCGTGTGGAAGTCTTTTGAGGCGCCTCAAAAGGTGTTCTGGGCATGTGAGATGTCTATGGATGGTTACTGCAAGCGTGTGGAAGTCTTTTGAGGCGCCTCAAAAGGTGTACTGAGCATGTGAGATGTCTATGGATGGTTACTGCAAGCGTGTGGAAGTCTTTTGAGGCGCCTCAAAAGGTGTACTGGGCATGTGAGATGTCTATGGATGATTACTGCAAGCGTGTGGAAGTCTTGGAAGGAGATGAATGCTAATTCATCAGGGCTTCTGTTGGTGATGCTTGCTTTTTTCCCTTGTTCTGATGTTGCTTCTTCCGCAGCGGCCCCTTCTGCTCCTACTCCCCGCAGCAGACCAATGTCGTACCAATGGCTTCATGCCAGGACGAGTCTTAATGATTCATGCATGCAACAGAAGTTTATTTTTGAGACGTCTCAAAAATCAACTTTCTACACGTGCCTTCCGCTCCTACTCTCCGCAGACCAATGTCGTACCAATGTCGCTCATGCTAGGACGAGTCTTAATGATTCATGCCAGGACGAGTCTTAATGATTCATGCATGCAACAGAAGTCGTGTACTGGCGGGCTGCTGCTGCTGCTGCTGCTGCGGTGCGAGTATCAAGATTCATGTTGGGAGTTGCAGCAAAAACGATCTCAACAGAAGTCGTGTACTGGCGGGCTGCTGCTGCTGCGGTGCGAGTCGGCACAGCAGCAGTCTAATTTTGAGGCGCCTCAATATTAGAAGTCGTGTACTGGCTGCTGTGCGAGTCAACACAGCAAGGTGGCTGTGGATGATGCTCCCTTGTCTGCCTCCCTTCCCCTACCCTCCCACTGCCCTCCCACCCCCACCTCACTCCACCGCACCCCACCTCCTCCCTCTATCGCCTGCTGCTGTCTGATTTCGTGCGAGTCAGCAAGGTGGCTGTGGATGATGCTTGCTTTCTTTCCTCTGTTCTGTTGTCTCTTTTTCCCTGGCCCCTTTCCCTCCAACCCTCACAGACCAACTTCCAGGGGCGGGTGTTCAAGACCCATACCACCAAGGCCGTCTATCGCCTGCTGCTCTCTGATTTCGTGCGAGTCAGCAAGGTGGCTGTTGAAGATGCTCCCTTGTCTGCCTCCCTTCCCCTACCCTCCCACTGCCCCTCCACCCCTACCTTGCTCCACCGCACCCCACCTCCTCCCTCTTCAGACCAACTTCCAGGGACGCGTGTTCATGACCCATGCCACCAAGGCCGTCTATCGCCTGCTGCTCTCTGACTTCGTGCGAGTCAGCAAGGTGGCTGTGGATGATGCCCTGTTCACGGAGCAAGACATTCAACAGAGCATGGAGAAGATTGAGGTGAGTGCGAGCGGTTGAGGGAGTGAGTGAGTGGGTGAGTAAGGGAGAAAGTGAAAGGGGGGGAAAGTCAGCAAGGTGGCTGTGGATGATGCCCTGTTCACGGAGCAAGATATCCAGCAGAGCATGGAGAAGATCGAGGTGGGTGCGAGTGAGGGAGTGAGTGAGGGAGTGAGTGAGTGAGGGAGTGAGTGGGTGAGTGAGGGAGTGAGTGGGTGAGTGAGTCAACAAATGAGTGAACGAGTGAGTGAAGTAGGGAGTCAGCAAGGCGGCTGTGGGTGATGCGCTGTTCACGGAGGAAGATGTCTAGCAGAGCATGGAGACGACTTTTGAGGCGCCTCAAAAAGCTTCTGAGAATTCTAAAAAAACTGAGGCGCCTCAAAAGGCTTTTGAGAATTCTAAAAAAACTGAGGCGCCTCAAAAGGCGGCTGTGGGTGATGCGCTGTTCACGGAGGAAGATGTCCAGCAGAGCATGGAGAAGATCGAGGCGAGGGGGAGTGAGGGAGAGTGAGTGAGGGAGTGAATGAGGGAGTGAGTGAGGGAGCGTACGAGGTGAGAAAGGTGGCTGTGGATGATGCGCTGTTTACGCAAGAAGATGTCCAGGAGCATGGAGAAGATCGAGGTGAGGGGGAGTGAGGGAGAGTGAGTGAGGGAGTGAGTGAGGGAGTGAGTGAAGGGGGAGTCAGCAAGGTGGCTGTGGAAGATGCTCTGGCATGCTGAATGGCATCAAGTTCTGGTGCTACACGGCGGCAGCTATGTTAAAGAGGTGACTTTTGAGTCGACTGAAAAGTAACTTCTGGTGCTACACGGCGGCAGCTATGTTAAAGAGGTGACTTTTGAGTCGACTGAAAAGTAACTTCTGGTGCTACACGGCAGCAGCTATGTTAAAGAGGTGACTTTTGAGTCGACTGAAAAGTAACTTCTGGTGCTACACGGCAGCAGCTATGTTAAAGAGGTGACTTTTGAGTCGACTGATAAGTAACTTCTGGTGCTACACGGCAGCAGCTATGTGCCACATGCTTTCTCTCACTCCCCCCTTTGTCGCGCCCAAAAATCGACTTATCACCGGCAGCTATACAGCGGCACAGCGGCAGCTATGTGCGGCAGCTATGTGCGGCAGCTATGTGCGGCAGCTTTGTGCGGCAGCTTTGTGCCACATGCTTTCTCTCACTCCCCGATTCATACCCCACCCCACCAGGTGATCGATTTCCACCAGATTCACGAGGTGAACGGCTTCAAGCTCTGGTGCTACACGGTGGGGCACGTGCTGGGAGCTCCTTTCATTGGTCTTCCATTCAGTGCTAACCCCTCCGTCCGTGGCCTTTCCTTTCCTTACCTCTTTGAGGCATGTCAGGTCATCGATTTCCACCGTCCGTGGCCTTTCCTTACCCTCAGGGGCATGTCAGGTGATTGATTTCCACCACACGTCTCAAAAGTCGCCTAGGCCTTTCCTTACCCTCATTTTTGAGACGTCTCAAAAGTCGCCTAGGCCTTTCCTTACCCTCATTTTTGAGACGTCTCAAAAGTCGCCTAGGCCTTTCCTTACCCTCATTTTTGAGACGTCTCAAAAGTCCGTCCGTGGCCTTTCCTTACCCTCAGGGCATGTCAGGTGATTGATTTCCACCACGTTCACGAGGTTAACGGCATCAGGTTCTGGTGCTACACGGCGGGGCACCTGCTGGGAGCTGGAGCGAGTTGGCAGCACCTTTCACTCAGTGCTTCCACCTCCTTCCTCTCTCTGCCTTTCCTTGCCCTCATTTCAGGTGATAGATTTCCGCCAGATTCACGAGGTGAATGGTATCAAGTTCTGGTGCTACACGACAGGCAGGGCACGTGCTGGGATCGGCCGTGCTGCTCCTTTTTCCATTCCACATGCTTTGTCTTTTTTCCCTCCCTTGCTGCTCCTTTATTCCTCCCAGGTCATCGACTTTCACCAGATTCACGAGGTGAATGGTATCAAGTTCTGGTGCTACACGGCGGGGCACGTGATGGGAGCAACGTGGCTTGAGTGCTAACCCCCGTCTTCCTCCGTCTTTATGTTCCTCGCTCCCAGGTCATTGATTTCCACCAGATTCACGAGGTGAACGGTATCAAGTTCTGGTGCTACACGGCGGGGCACGTGCTGGGAGCAGCCATGTTCGCGGTGGATATAGCGGGAATCAGGGTGCTCTATACGGGGGATTACTCGCGCGAGGAGGACCGCCACTTGAGAGCAGCCGAAGTGCCGCCCTTCTCTCCGGACCTCTGCGTCATTGAGTCAACGTTTGGTGTACAGGTGCGTCTTGGTGGATTTTGACTTCCTATACTGCTACTTGAGACAGCT